CCCTTACTCGCAGCAGCCCTCCCCACCGCCGCCCTCGTTGCCGCCCTCGCCGCTGCCGCCGCCCTCTCACCCGCCGTCCCTACCGCCGCGCCCTCGCCGCTGCCCTCCCCGCCCCCTCCCAGAACCCGCCAGCCTCCGCCGCGCCGGCCGGCATGCCACCGCTCTTGCCCTCGCCCCCCGCCGCCCCGCCGCCGCCCCGCCGCCATTGCCGCCTCCGTCACCGCCGCCGCCACCCTCGAGCCTCGTCACCACCGTCTCCACCGCCGCCCTCGCCGCCACACCGCCCTTAGTTTACCCCCACCCCCATCCTTCGCTTGCTGCCGTCGGTGCCACCTACCAAGCCCCCGCCGCCCTCGCTGCCGCCTTGCCGCCCGCCCACCCTCACCCTTACCATTGCCCCCGCCACCCTCGCAGCCACCCTCGCCCCCACCACCCTCGTCGCTGCCCTCGCCGCCGCCGCCGCCCTCTCACCCGCCACCCCTACCACCGCCCTCGCCGCCGCCCTTGCCCCGGCTGGACGCGCCTAAGCCCGCCCACGCAGGGGCCCGGGGGAAGGGTCACGCCAGCTCACAGACAGCAAGCTGGCGGCATACTTTTGCGGCATCAAAGGTGCTAGGCATCATACTGCAACCCCAGGCACAACACTAGCAAAAAGTGAGACATAACCTCGGTCAGTGGGCCAGGCCCTCCCGCGCCCCTGCCTGCGCGTTCGTGTTCGAGAGGAACGACGTGAGCGACAACGCTCGGGTCGGTTTCTACGAGGCGGTGGCGCTGCCGCCCGTCTCGATCTCTTGACCTTTCTGAAGCGGCCGTCTACACTACTTGAGCCGCGGCGGGCCGCGCCCCTTGCCGTCGTGCGCATGCACATGTCACATGAACATGTCCTCCTGCGCGGAGACCATGCGCAGGATCTGCAGCGTGGGCGCCGACTTGTAGCAGAGTGTAGCTAGGGACTCTGCGGGATGGACTGGTACCTTTCGTGAACACACACACACCCTAGACGTGAGGCCGTGGTTTACCCACATTATGCGAGTAGGACCGTCACCACGGGGCTCACCCTGTTCCGACCCTGATCCGACCCTGATCCGACCATGTTCAAAGTGATGACGTGTGTGCGAATGCAGGAATGCAGCGCTCACGCGGTCCCGGGCTCGGTCCTCCCACATTCTCTAAATGATGAGTCTCGCTCTCCCTTAACCCTTATACAATAAGGGGCCTCTGCGAAATAAAACGCGGAGACCTCAGTGGGAGCGAACTCTGACGGAGAGGGAGGCTCCCCGTGTTTGTTTTGCGGCCTAGTTCCGCTGGGTTCGGGAGTGTCTTCGCTTTTGTGGTGCTGGTGTACGCAATAACGGGACAGGGTAGTCGTTCTCTCTAGCTCCCCTTCTAGCTCTTGGCATGAGCTGCGCCCTGTGTCCGACCCCTTTTGCGCAGCAACACCTTAAACTTTTAGGCCCTCCAAATTCGGGTCGGAGCGTAGCGGAGTGGGCCCCGAGTTTGAAAAGGGCGACGGACGCTTGCGTCCTAGCCTCCAACAACGCCTCCCCGGCGCAGAGGGGCCCCCGGAGGGATGCTCAACCGCTCCACGCCACGCCGCTTGCGGCGGTCCTATTCCCAGCTCCGCTGAGGGCCCGTGCGTTATTTTGTCACGCGGTGCCTAAAGCAAGTGGGTGTGGAGCTGAAGCTGAATTAAGAAGAAGAAAACCCACGCCACTCACCAACCTAGTGCTCCACCACCTATGCTCCTCGCCCTCCTCGCCTACACGCCAGACGACGGGAAGCTTGGGTACACTCCGTACTACTACAAGATGGACGTGCCGGTTCGTGTGCGCAACAGCATCTCGTACGGCCGGGCGTGGCAGCTCCTGCGATCGAGAGGCGAAGGGAGCAACGCCAGTGGAGCCTGCGACCCTCCGCAGCTTTCCGGCTCATGCAACTGCTCCACGACAGCTGCGCTACCTCCCAACCCGGGCCTCCGCGATACCGACGACACAAGCGCCATGCCTCGCTGCGTTCCTTCACCGCTCTGCTCTGCTGCCGCACCGGCGAGCGTGCCAGCTGCCCCTGCAGCAGCGATCCTGCTCAATCTCGACGTCCAGTCGCAAAACATGCGCTTTCCTGTCGGCACGTGCGCCGCGTGCCTGCGCCGCGGCTACGGAAAGGCCGTGCGCGAGGTGATACGGTTACTCCTCTCTCTAACCGTCGTGAACACGACCCTCCCCGTCCACATTCTCGCGAGCGGCGAGCGGTGGCAGCAGGTCGAGGCGCGACTGCTGGCGTCCTTCCCCTTCGTCTCCGTTGTCGGCGGCACAGTGCCGCCGGTAGTCGTGCCCACGTGGGCGAGCAAATGGGCGAGGGGGTCGTTCTCGAAGCTCAGAGCCCTCGCGCTCACGCAGTACACACGGCTCGTCGTCCTCGACAACGACGACGTGGTGCTGCGCAACATCGACCACCTGGCCTCTCGAGATATGCCGGTGCCCGCGTTTGTCTTTGGCTGGAAGTGCTACCCGCGCCGTGAGCTGCGCGCGAGCACCATCGTCGTCGCGCCGAGCCTCGCCGACTGGCAGCGCGCCAGAGAGCTGCTCAGCAGCGAGTCGACGGCCGTGTACGACGACCTTGGCGAGCAGAGCGTGTGGCGGCGCCTCTACCGCTCGGTGTACGAGCTCCCCGCCGGGTACGCCGCGCTTCGAACGGCCGACCTGCCAGCAGCCGAGTGGTCAAAGGTGAGGAGAGGAGAGAGTAGAGAGGAGTGGAGAAGAGAGGAGAGAGGAGAGGAGACACCGAGTGGTACCCGGTCTCCTCTCCTGGTCGAAGGTGAGTATCGTCCACGACGCGCACTTGATCCACGACGTGTCGCGGGAAGGCTGGCATGCTGCCGGGATGGGCGCGATTGTCCCCGCGATCGACAAGGACGCGACGCGCCTCTTCAACGAGCACTTTGCCGAGCTCTTTGCCGCCCCGCCCAACCCCAAGCAAAAGAAGGGGGGCGGGCGCCGCAAGACACGCGGCCGACTGCTCGGCAAGCGCCGGAAAGCAAAAGACGTGCGATAGCCGATCGTCGGATAAAGCGATTAGCGTGTCCGCCGTGCGGTCTGGGGGGCTGAGATAAAATCACGGCTGTGGTCTATAGTCTCTTAGAATAACGCGGAAGAGGGTAACGCCAAACCCGCGATGCAATCAATACACCGATCGAAATGATGACAACATCCCACCGCCAAAAAAAGACTAAACTCCCAGCGCCTCACCTGGCGGGCTCGGCGTCGGCCGGTGCCACGCCCGACGGGTCGCGCGGCTGCGCAGACAACCGCCGCAACGCCGCCTCGAGCGGCTCCGCCTCCGCCTCGTGGGCGAGCCTAACGAGAGAGCAAATGCAATTCAAAAGGACGCGACAGCGAGACCGAAACCTCTTGTGCCACCGCGCCTCAGGACGAAGAGCTGAGGAGCGCTGCCGTCTCCGTGCCCGTGGCGCTCGGCAACGAGCGACAGCCCAAATTCGAGCGCCTGACCGTGCAAGCTCAACGCGTGACGAACCCGGCACCCGATGGCCGAGCAGGAGCAGGAAAGTGGGACCGACGGCGCCCGCCCAGCCGCCGCCGACGACGTCGCCTCGCGCACGCACTCGGCCAGGATGCTCAGGTAGGCTTCGCCGTCGAGCTGGCGACGCGAGGAGCGGAAGACGCGCACGAGGCTTTGCAGGTACGAGAGGCGGGCGCCGCTGAGCGACGGCGCGGCGGCACCGCCCACCGCGCCCTGCCTGCCGCGCCCGCGCCGCCCGCCGCGCCCGCCGCGCCTGCCTGCCGCACCGCCGCGGGAGCCGCGCCCCGCGGGAGGCTCGCGCTGCACGAGCAAGCGGAAGGTGCGCTTGGTCGGCGAGACCTGCGCGCGCAGCATGTGCTCGAGCGCCTCGAGCACGTACGAGTACCGCGGCTCGCCGCCGGGCTCCGCCGGCAGCATGCACCCCGCGAGCAGCGCGTTGTACGTCGCGACATTCGGCGGCACGCCCGACGCGATCATCCGCACCAGCACCTCGCGCGCCGCTCGAATGTCGAACTCTGCGAGGTGGTCCGCCCTCGCCGTCTGCGGCGAGGTGTGCGCGCGCACGAGGAGCGTGTACGACGCCGCGTCCGGCGCTATGCCCTGCTCCTCCATCTGGTCAAAGACGGCTCGAGCGGTCTCGGGCTGCCCGCCGTTGACGCACGCCTCCATCATCGCCGAGAAGGTGTACCCGTTGGGCGCCAGCCCCTCGGTCTGCATCCGCCGCAGCAGCGCGATCGCCTCGTCGATGCGCCCGCCGTGCGCATAGGCGGAGAGGACCATCGAGAAGGCTTGCACCTACGGGAGCCGTCCGCAGCCGCTCGGCCGTGTGCGGGCGGGCGGCGGGGCCTGCGGGCGGGGGCTCTCGCGCCGACGCGGGGATACCGTCCTGCAGCATGCGGTCGAGCGCGGACGCCGCCTCGTCCGCCTGCCTCGCGCGCAAGCAGGCGCGGAGCAGCAGCCCGTACGAGACGCCGTCGGGCGGGACGCCTCGCGCCGCCATCGCGCGGACGAGCTCGGAGGCATCGGACCAGCGCAGCTCGGACGCGTACCCGCCGAGCAGCGCGTTGAAGACCGCCGCGTCGAGGCGCGTGCCCGACTCGACCGCCTCGTCGAGCGCCGCGCGCGCACCGTCCACAGAGCCGCCGTTCACGTGCGCCTGCACGATGGCCGCGTACGAGATTGCGTCGGGCGTGACGCCGCCTTCGCGCATCCGACGCAGCACGTCCGCCGCCTGCAGGGAGGCTCGGAGACGGGTCAGAGAGGAGGCTCCGGCGGGGCGTCCGGCGCAACACGCCTTCCGCCGCCTGCGCCGGCTGCCGCGCGCGCGCGCAAAAGTCGAGCACGACGTTCCACGAGCCGAGGGTGGGCTTGAGGCCGGCCTCGTCGATCGCGCGGAAGTAGGTGAGCATCCCCCGCCGGTCTCCCGCCTTAGCTGCCACCGACATGAGCGTCGTGAAGGTGAAGACGTCCGGCGAGACGCCCTCGGCCAGCATGCGCTGCAGCACGGCGCCAGCCTCGGAGCGCTCGCCCGCCGCGCCGTGCGCCTTGATGAGGGTGTTGAAGATGCGCGCGTTGGGCACGACCGGCGCGCGGGCGCGTCGCGGCCGCGTGAGCACCGCCGCCTCCGCCGGCGAGGTAGCGTCGTGGAAGAAGGCGATCGCGAGGCGCGGCGCGCCGCACCGCAGGGCTGCGGAGAGGAAGAGGACGGTCATCTTGGCGTCGAGCGGCAGCGGAGAGAGGCGCACCCGCCGCCACAGCGCGACGAGGGCCGCGATCTCGCCCCCCTCCCCCGACGCCGCCTCCGACGCGAGCGCCGCCGCGACGTCCCTCAGCGGCCCTCCTCCCTCCCCGCCCTCGGCCGAACCGGCCGCGCCGCCGCCGCCCGCCGCCTGCCCCGCGGGCCGCGAGGCCCCGCCCGCCCGGTCCGCCGGCGGCACGTCGAGGGCGGCGCCGCCGCGGCGGCCCCGCCGGCCGAACTTTGCGATGGCGGGCGCGCACACTTCGCGCACCGCCTCTGCGGCACGCCGGTCCTCGAGCCACTCTCGCGCGCCCCGCCGCTGGAGGCGGTACGAGGCGCGCCCTTCGGGGGAGAGGCCCGGGCGCTTGCCGTGCGCCACGTCGACCAGCTCGGCCGCCCACGGGCCGAGGCGCATGGTGCGGACCAGGCGCAGCGTCACCGAGGGCGACGTGAAGAGCCGCGTCGAGATTGCAGACGAGACGCCCTCGAGGGTTCGGTGCGGCCACATCGCGTCGCCCACCGAGGCCGAGGTAGCGACGACCGAGTCGCCGCTGCAGACGAGCCCGCTCGCCTCGGCGCTCCCTCCCGCCTCGACCGCCTCCACCTCCACCCACCGCTCCTCCTCCTCCCCCGTCGCGTTGGCCGCCGAGCGCTGCGCCAGCGCGAGGCCGAGCGGCTTGGAGAGCGTCACGTCGAAGGAGCGGCGCAGCGGGAGCTCCCACGCGCGCCGCCGGCGCGCGCTGCTCGAGCGCTGCACGCGCAGCCGCACCTGCCCGTCGACGCGCGTCTGGATCGCCGCCATGACGCCCGAGATCGAGCGCTTCTCCCACATCGCGTCTCCGACCGACGCCGAGGTCGCGACCACCCGATCGCCTCGCCGCACGCCGGCGCGCTCCGCGTTGCTCTCCTCGAAGACCAGGGAGACAAAGACGCCCTCCGCCCGCTCCTCCAGCTGCAGCCCCAGCGGCTTGGGAATGGCAAACTCCAGCTCGGTCGGAGCCGGCGCCGACGGCTGGCCGGCGATCGCGTAGCCGCGACGCCCAGGCAGCGGAGCGCGCCCGCAGAAGGGCGCCGGGAGCAGCGCAGTCGCTAGCGAAGCCGCGAGCACAAGAGGCAGCGCGCGCGGCATCCGATGCAGCAGGTATCGATGCAGCTTGAGTGGCCTGCCGCACCAATCCGGGAACAATCGCCACGGAAAAAGAATTCGAAAAATGCCATGTCCGCCTTGCGTGTTTTCATAACATCGAAGGCTAAGCTCAAAAACGAACACCAGTCGAAATTGCTATTAGTACCGACCCAAAAGGGGGCAGCATGGCCGATTCGTCGCTGGCTCCCACTGACTGGAGTGACGGGCTCCGTCAACCATTGAAGCCGCCGTGTCGATGAGCTTCTAACTCGATCGCGTTCTCGAGATACAGCTTGAGATGTGCGAGTTGGAGTGGCCTCACGGAGTCGGCGCCGCCGCTCGGCGCTCTTCTGCTGATTTGGCGATCCAGCGCTGCTTGTCCCGATCGACTGCTCAGGCCTGGTCAAGGCGACGACATGCTCTGGCGGCGGTCTTCCGCAAACTACTGTCACGAGTGCACGACGAGATATGACCATCGGCGCTCGCATGTGTGCTCAGGGCACCTCAGGGCTGCTGCGTGACGCGTGGCTCGGCTCCGCGAGCGCTTGTGAATTTTCTATGATTTTTTTGTACTAATAGCACTTTCGTACGCCAACTGCCCATCGCCCAATCCAATCCTCCAATCAGCGCGTCTGTTTTCTTTCTTTCTTTCTTTAGACGCGCCGGAACCGTCCGACTATAGCGACTAGCACACCTCTGTCAAGAGTCCCCACCCGAGGAGTCACACAGTCCACCTGTGTTGTGATATGCACGCCCTGTGTGAGCGGGGCGGGGTGCGCACTGTGCCTCTGTGTTCCTGCGTCGCCCATCTCTCCTGGAGATGACTGCTCTTTTTATTTATTCCTTATTGCAATCCCTGTGTGGTGGCGGCGTGCCGTCCTAAAGAAAGAAAAGACAAACCAAACGAGGGATGGGAGAAGGTGAAGGACAGGGTCCCCACGTCCAGTCCTGCACGCTGTACGAGCAGCATCTTGGAACGACGATCAGGGACAGGGGCCACGGGAGTGGGGAGCGCATCGCGACACGGAGGGGGGCTGGGCAGGGTTCACGGGTTCACCCACACGACAGGGTCCCAGGGATTCCTCTCTCGTATAGGACGGGTTGCACCCGGCGGCACGGGGGCAGGCGCGGGCCTCCTACTGGTTGCGCTCTCCTAGTTCTCCTGCTCCTTGAGCACTTGAGCACTGGATAGGGTCGATTCCGCGTGGTACGGGACCCCTCGTGCCTCGATCGTCCCAGGCCTCGCCCCTCCAAAATTGTCCGGAATCATCGCGAGGAAAAAGAATTTTACCCTCAGGGAGGGTGTAGAGGATGAGAGTGAAGAGCGCTGAGAGATGTAGAGATATAGAGCGCTCTGGAGCGCTGTAGAGCTGTAGAGCTCTACATCCGGCGCGTGACGATGTGAGTCCGATGTAGAGCGATGTAGAGCGCGATTTTGTTGTAGAGTTTGTTGTAGAGGCTCTACAGCAAATGAGCAAAACCGCGGGAAGGCAGTGACTCAAAGAGGTCGAGCCGCACTAATGGGGTGTCTCCGAGCTTACTGGAGCTCTGATGGACGGCCCTGACTATCCCTGACACACAGAGAGTCACTCTGACGGCACACAACACCCTATAACTGCGTCATGACCAGCCTGCCATGCGTCGCCGGTGCCGCATTCGTCGCTGTGCTTCTTTAGCAGGCGGTGGACTGTCGGCTGCGAGACGGTCGCATTTGCGCGAGGCGAGGCGAGCATTGCTGAGCGTTGCATGCGCCATGACTCGCGCCAGCGCGTGCGGGAGCTCCTGGCTGAGCGTTGAGTCCCCAGGCGAGTTGCGCTGGCCACGATCGCTACGCCGAGCCGAGCTGACGCGCCGAGGCGCCGGCCAGTCGCAGCCGTGAGGCATGCCACAGCAGCAGAGGCACCTCCCACCCATTGGGCGGGTAGACAGAAGCCAGGGCAGCACTGGCAAGTGCAACGCGCCTCATGTCGGAGAGCGACCGTGCCTCGTTCGCCGCTTATGATGTAGAGTTGTTGCAGGTGTATGTTTTTTTTGCTTGGCCGGGCGGGGTAGGTAGGGTAGGGTCTGGGCCCTCCCGTCGGGTTTTTCCCTCTCTCACGCCGGAATTTTCACAGCAGAAAAAGAATTTTTCCGCGCAAATCACGATGTCAACCCTCCCCAAGTCGTTGATCTGGTGCTTGTAGGGCTTGAGAGTGGCCTGCCATGTCACAGGAAGGACTGTGGTTGCAGGATAGTACCACCAGCCATCACTTTAGTTGGTATAGTACCCCACCTTCACCCATCTCATGATTTCTTTTTTAGTTTCCCATAAGTAAGGTAGGTAGGTAGGTAGGTAGGTAGGGACAGGACAGGGGCCGGTCAGGTTTTTGCAGAATTTCAGCATGATGCCCGGCCCAAGCAAAAATAAAATACACCTGGTTGTTGTAGAGATTTCACGTTGTAGCGCTACAGCGCTTACTGGCTTACACTCTACATCCTCTACACCCTCCCTCAGATTTTACCCCGCAAACCTTCCTTCCAGTAATCCCTGCCTGTGTGGTGGCGGCGTGCCGTCCTCCCATCCCTCTTTTGATTGCACGTTTTCTTTCTTTCTTTCTTTTATTTTTGACTCATCAGTTCCCACGGTATGTGCCTATGTCGTATCCCTTACTTAGGATTTCCTTGAATTCCTAGTGAGCGACTCCGCAACCTCCCGCCCGCTGGTTGACTGACGGTTGATTGAGATCCCGTCGACCCTTTAGTTGGGGTTTAGGCCTCCCTCCCCTCGTACAATCTCCCATCCCTCGTACAAAAAGAAAAAAACGGTCTGTCTGCGAAGTGTCGCGCCGAAGTGGCGCTTTTGGCTCGCTGCTTGCTCGGCCCGCAGCTCGTCTTTGCGATGTTTCGTCGGCGATCGGCATCTGGGGGGAAAGAGAGGCGGTGTGTGCCCTCCCATCCGCCTGGCCGCCCGGTTCCAATCTTGGCTCTTGCGTGAGACCCGTTTGACTTGTACAGATCCATGCCCGCTGGCTCTCTGCGGTCGAGCAACACCGACCGGCCGCGCGGGGGCTCGCTCACCGTGCTGACCAACATCGCGCCCTGTCTCCGGCCGCAGCTCCGGCGCATACTCGGCCGCCGGTTCCAATGTAACGCCAGCCTCATCGAGCTGCAGAGCCCCCTGCTGTACAACGACATGGTGGTCATACTCTCAAACGAGGCGAGCCTCTCGGCCTCCCCCCGAGCCCCCATCCGCTTCGACTGTCCACACTCCACAGCGAGCCCCTCGCCCCGTGCTCCCCCCTCCCTCTGGCAGCCCGAAAAGTACGGCGGGCGCGACCCACGGCTCGACGAGATTCTCTGGATCGGGCGCGACGCGAGACTGCGTGTGGGGACGTGTGCTTGGCTCCCTCTCGGCTAGACCTACGTCGCGACTCGGATAGGCGTCGCGAGAGCCGGGTACACCACGTCCTAGTTGCACCGCGCCAGCTGAGCGAGCTCTCCGTGACCATGCCACACGTGCGGCGCTCGTCGCCGCGCGAGCCGGCGCTGGCGGCATCCACTCACAGCCGCTCCGCTGAACAGGTGTGGCGCTCGTCGTGCGGCGACCAGGACATCGCCCAGCACCTGTGGGTGCTCGGTGAGCTGCAGCAGATCTTACGCCGCACGGACTGGCAGACCGAGGACGACGTCGACGACGAGCGAAGCCTTGGCTGGGACTGGCTGACCGGGCCCGCGTCGACCTACACGGGCGGAGAACTTGCCGGAGCTGCCGAGCCGAACCGCCACCGCCACCGCCGACGAATACTAGGCTTTTGAACGACCAATTTCGTACGAAAACACGTGTCTAGATACACTAGTGACTAGAGAGGCGCCTTGTGCGCTTGGGACACATGAGACATGTGTCATCTCTCTGTCATGTCGCTCAGGTGGTCTTGCGTGAAGAACGGCTGACACCGTTTTTTCTCCTCTTAAATAAATAAAAACGGCGCGGCGCGGTTCCCAAGAGGCGCGTCACGCGTGCGATGTGCGCCGTGCCGAGGCCCGAGCGTGTCACGAGTGCGCGTGCGCCCGCGTCATGGGCAGCGCGAGCAAACTGGCGAACGGCGCCAGGAAGAGCCAGCCGTGCAGCAGCAGCGCGTAAGTCACGGCGGCGCAGCGCGCGAGCGCAAAGGCCCGCAGCGGGCGGCCCACCAGGCAAGCGGCGCGGTCCAGCAGCACGAGCACCTCGTCCACCGCCGCTGCCACCGCCACCGCCGGCGGCGGCGCAGGCTGCTGGGCGCGACTCGCTTGAGCCTCGAGCCACGGCTGCACGACGCGGGCGCCTCGGCTTCGGCCCCGCGCCGCGGGCACGTCGATCCGCACCGCCTCGCCCGGGGCAGCTGCCGCGCGGAGGGCGAGGCTCCGCTCCAGCGCCCGCCGCCGCGACGCCTCCGCCTCAAGCCTCAGCCGCAGTGCCGCCCGCTCCTCCGTCAGACTCTCCACCTCGGCGCGCGCCTTGCTCCGCTCGACCGCCGAACCAAACCCCTCGTGCGGCGCCGCCGCACCGCTGGCAACCACGCCCCCGTCCGCCGCGTTCGCCGCCGCCGCCGCCGCCCTCTTCTCCGCCTCGGCCGCGGCTGTCGCCTCTGCTAGCCTCGCCTGCAGCGTCTCCCTCCGCTCCTCCGCCGCCTCGGCCTCGCGCCTCGCAGCGCCGAGCGCCGCAACCGCCGCCGCGAGCTCCGCCCGCACCGCCGCCGCGTCGGCCTCTGCATCGCGCCGCGCCGCCGCCTCTGCCGCCGCCTGCCGCCGCAGCTCCGCCACTCCCGGGTCTGCAGAGGCTGCGCGGCGGGGCGGGGCGTCGGCCCGGCTGGCGGCGGCGAGGGCGGAGGTGAGCTCCGCATTGAGCCGAAGGAGCTCCGCCTCGCGCGCCTCGGCCGCTCGGAGCCGCTCGGCCGTGAGCTGCTCCACTTGCGCCGCAGCTCGCTCTGTGTCGCGCTGCTGCTCCCGAAGCGCTGCGAGCCCGTCCGCTTGGGCGCCGTAGCCGGACTTGGCGCGTGCGAGCGCCTCGCCCTGCTGCGCGAGCTGCCTCCCGAGCCTGAGGACCTCGTCTCGCGCGGCGGCGGCGGTCGCCTCCGCCGCCTCCGCTCGGGACGAGGCTGCGTCGCGAGCGGCGCCGGCGGCGGCCAGCTCTGCCACTCGCTGCGCCTCGGAGAGGGAGAGGGCCGCCACATGCGACTCGAGCTGCTCCTTCGCGACGCGCTGCTTCTCAAGCCTCGCCTGCAGCCGCCTGCCGTGCATCGAGACGATCTGCAGCTCCTGTTGGAGCGCAAGCCACTCGGACCGAGCGGCGCTCGTCCCGCCCTGGTCCGGCGACGACTGCGGCAGCGGCGGCATGTGGCCGAGCGCAGCCTCCTCCTCATCGGCGACGCCTCGCTCCTCGGGCAGCAGCAGCGAAGCGACGGCGCTGCTCACGCCTGCGTCAGTCACGGCGTCGGCCGCCGGCGCCGGCGCCGTCAGCCCGGCGATCGCCTTGACCTGGACGATGCGCTCCTCCGCCCTCTTGTCGAGGCGGTTGAGCGTCTCCTCGGCCTTGGCGAGCTGCTTCGCGGCGAGGGCCTTCACACCGGCGATGGAGGCGAAGTTGGCGGTCGCCATAGCTGTCCCGCCCTATCGTCGAGAGGGAGGGAGGGAGGGAGGGAGGGAGATATCGCGAGGTGACGGGGGAGCTGCGGGGCGGAAAGAGGGGAGAGCTGGCCGGGATGAGGAGTGAGAGTGCGGCGGTGGTGCGCCGCGCGCCGCCGCGCACCTGTAGCTGCACGCTGGCCTAGCGCACGGCCTTGGTCAAAGGGTGGCGGAAACGCGACGCGGAGGGCTGCGGCGGTGGCAGGAGCACTGGAGCGGCGGCGCGGTGGCGGGAGCGAAGGTGCCTGAGGCAGTGTGCAGCGGGCGTGGTGAGGCTCGAGGCTGCCAAGTGCGAGTGTGCGCGGGAGGCCGGTCGGGAGGCTAGCTGGCTCCCATCGCAACTCACACGCGGCTGCGGCACACGGGCGAGACGCTGCTGCCTCTCGTGGCACTGCTCAACGACGCTCAACGCCGACCGTCGGGGGGTCTGGTTGGGCTCTGTGCGGCTGGAGGAGAGCGGAGAGTGGAGCGGTGGTGTGCCACCAGGATTCGGTACTTCAGCTTGGTATAGTACATGTATCATCGCATTGCAGATCATACCCCAGGCCTATACCCTGATACCCTCTTGAGAGGACCCGCATTGGGCCCCTAGAGGATAGGCTGATACCCTGGTGGGTTACCCTTCACACCGGACACGACCCCCCTCTTCACACCTCTTCGCGCGCTGCGCGCGCGCCAAGACAGACAAACGCGCTCGAATGAGCGTCGCGCAGGAGGGAGGCGAGCGCACCACTAAGCAATGCGCTGGGAGGAGGACGCTAATGGCGGCCGTCGTCGCGTTTGACGGGCCCGCGGCCGCAGCCGGTGCGGCTGCAGCCGCGCGAGGTGTGAATTGTCGCTTCGCTGCGCGGCCGCCGATGATACCTTGATACCCAGCCGAGATAAGTCCCCACAGAGGCCTAGAGCATACCTTGATACCCCCTCGAGAACAATACGATGATACTATACCAAGCTGAAGTACCGAATCCAGGTCTTTTGGCCGCCAAAAAGAATTTGGTTATTAACACGCAATTCGCCCGCCGATCGGAGCCGCACCCCAGACGACTTGCTTCGCTTCGATCACATCACGGGGTGCCTCATCGGTACCGAGCGCTGTATGTGTTCTCGATCACATTACGGGGCTGCCTTCATTCGTACCGAGCGCTGAATGTGATTTCCATCTCATAAGATCGTTCGATCACATTACGGGAGTGCCTCATTCGTGCCGAGCGCCGAATGTCATTTGGATCACATCACGAGGGTGCCTCGTTGGTACCGAGCGCCGTATGTGATTTGGATCACATCACGGGGGCGCCTCGGGCAACAGCATGTAAGTGGGGGGCTGCCACCTCGGTCAGCACGCGGACGATTTTTGCACGTCTCGCGCGCGCGTGAACAGGGCTTGGAATTGCCAAAAACCAACCAAGCCTGCACGCGAGAGAGCTTTTTAGCAATACCAAACAACTCTTGTTTGAATAAGAGAGAGAGAGAGAGAGAGAGAGAGAGAGAGAGAGAGAGAGAGAGAGAGAGAGAGAGAGAGAGAGAGAGAGCGAGAGAGAGAGAGAGACTAGAAGAAGAAGAAAAAATCTCCCGGTGAAACGAATTGAGAGGGCGGCAACGCCTCTGCGCGCACACCGCGAGCCCTCTCCTTCCGCGCGCGTGCAGCCGCGTGTGGCCACTACTTTCGGCGCATAGCATTGCAGCCGGCATGGGCGGTCACCTCGAGGAGGTGCGCAAGATCCGGGAGGCGCGCGAGCGTGCCGCACGGAGGGCATTGCGCGGCCTCGACCCCGAGCAGGGGAGCGAGGGTGAGGAGGAGAGCGACGACGCGGATCTTCCCGAGGCGCCGGATCTGACTCCAGAGGACGAGCGGCGCGCCCTCGCGCCGCACACTGGGGCGTCCAAGCCACCGCAGCCAGCCGTCCACAACGGTCCATCCCCGGCCGCGCTGCCGGTCATCAGGCTGGGATGGGCTGCAGAGGCCGCCACGCCCGGCTTGCCCGCCGGCTCGCCCGGTGAGGCAGCCGACGTCTTTTGCGTGCGCTACTCGCCGGACGACGCCCTGGTCGCCGCGGGCTGCGGTGACGGAGTTGTGCGCGTCTACCACGCGACCGACGGCCGGCTGGCATACTCGCTGGCGGATGACTCGCTAACCCTGCCGACCACCTGCCTCCGCTTTCGGCCGTCTGCGGCGTCGGCCAAGACCCGCAACGTGCTCCTCGCGGCCAACTCGGACGGCACCGTCAAGCACTGGCACCTCACCTCGGGGAAGTGCCTGCACTCGGTGACCGAGCAGGACAACCAGGTGTACGCCGTCGACTATGACACCGATGGTAGCCACTTTGCCACCGCCGGCCGCGACTGCCACATCCGGCTGTATGACGAGACCACGAAATCCGCCGTATCGACACTGCTCTCGTCGCTCGACCGCGCCCCGAGCGGCTACCACAGCGCGGGCGCGAGCGCTCACTCAGGCCACTCGAACCGAGTCTTTGGGCTGCGCTTCGGAGCCGAGCCGCACTCGCTCCTCTCTGGTGGGTGGGACAACACCGTGCAGCTGTGGGACACGCGCACCGCGACAACCGCGCTGTCCATCTACGGGCCCCACGTGTGCGGCGACGCCCTGGACATGCGCGGCCACACCATCCTCTCTGGCTCGTGGCGGCCAGAGCAGCAGCTGCAGCTGTGGGACGCGCGCACGGGCGGGCTACTGGCCACGCTTCCGTGGCCTGCGCACGGGCGCACGCGTGAACCGTGCCAGGTCTACGCCGCGCAGTTCTCCCGACACGACGGCGGCGCCCGCATCATCGCGGGCGGCTCCGGCGCCAACGAGGTGCGCGTGTTTGATGCAAAGGGCGGGGGCTCGCTCGCGGCCATAACCCTGCCCAAGGGCGTGTACGGGCTGGATGTCGAGGGGGGAGGGGGGCATGTCGCCGTCGCGGCCGGCGACAACGCGGTTCGCACGTTGGAGCTCCCCTGCTGATTTGAACAAACAAAATGTGTGGGTGCTAGCGCGAGTTTTTGTTTGGTATTGAAAATCTCTTTCGTTATCTCTCTGATTTGTGCACGGGCGGGGCGGTGGTCTTTTTGCGACACATAAGGCTTTTTTCCAGCGCACCAATTCAACGCGAAAGATTTTCTAATATATTTTGTCTCCCGGTGTGGTGCGGCGGCGCTTCAACAACGGAGAGAGAGAGATTTTTTTAGCAATACCCAACAACTCTAAAGACTAAACACTCACACATCATTTATTTGGGGCCAGTTTCCAGAAAATCAACAATTCAACAATAAATCACTACCCTCACAGTGATTCGCTCGTTAAAGTGTAAAGAAAGAAACAAACTATGGAGGGACCACTGGCGAGGTACTCCCACGCCTCTCGGCACTCGGGTTTTTTTGTCTGGCCGAGTCAACCCGAGATGCTGGGGCGAGCCTCGGCGAGACTGCGTCAGCTGTTCCCACAGCAGGCTGGAAGTACCTCGCCAGTGGAGGGATGGGAGGACGGCACAGCGCCAGACACAGGGATTTTCGAAAAAGGAGTGTGCGACCAGGGCGTAGAGCTCTTGTAGCGCCATCAGCCCCTCACGGCCCGGCCCAACCTTCCCTTCCCCACCCTCGCCTCCAGTGCCTCCAATCAAGTCGCACCTCTCTTCTTCAGCGAATGCAGCGGCAGCACCACGATCCACGTCAGAGGCCGGGCCGACTGGCGGACCTGCATGCCCAGCCATGCCCCCCACTCCCCACCCGCTTGGATCGATCAGCTGACAGCTCCACCAGCTCCCACCACCGCGTGTCGTGTCATGAAGCATGATAGAAGATAAATAGAAAGCATGAACCATCGAAAGGTCTGATCTCCAAAAAGAGCTCTCGGCGGGCTGCGTGCGCGCGCGCGCGCCCCGCCCCTTTTGCGCAGCAACACCTTAAACTTCATGGCCCTCCAAATTCGGGTCGGAGCGTAGCGGAGTGGGACCCGACTTTGAAAAGGGCGACGGACGCTTGCGTCCTAGCCTCCAACAACGCCTCCCCGGCGCAGAGCCGTGGCAGAGGGGCCCCCGGAGGGATGCTCACTCAACCGCCCCACGCCACGCCGCTTGCGGCGGTCCTATTCCATTAGGGGCCACTTCTTATTCAGGTGAGCCGGTGTGTGTGCCAGTCCGCGCCAGTCCGCGCCCTTGCAGTGCCGTGCGGAGGGGCTCAGAAATTCTTTTGTTTAAATTCTTTTCAAGAAGAGTAGAGCGGTGTACGAGCACTGCCGTCGCGGCGATGTCCGATTCCACGGACCTGACGACGCTCTCCATCAAGGAACTAAAGGAGCTGATCCGCTCCTCCGGTCTCTCTTTCGAGGATTGTATTGACAAGGCTGACTTGCGCTCTCGCGCTGCCGAGGCGCAGGAGCGGCTCGAGGCGTCGGCTCCAAAGGGCGGTGGCGGCGGTGGCGGCGGCGGCGGCGGTAGCAGCGCCGCGGGCGGGATGGCGCGCGCCAGCAAGACTTTCGGCGGATACGACGCGCTCGTGATCGGCCCGCCCTCGGTTCTCGACGGCTCCGAGGCTGCCGAGCTGGCTGTAATCGTGCTTCACGGGCTGGGAGCGACCAAGGAGGACTTTGCCGACCTGCCCAGGATGCTCGGCGGCGAGCAGGCTCTCGCAGGGCGGAGGCTCGTGTACGTGCTGCCGCAGGCGCCCCCGTCGCCGCTGCTCGGCGCAGCGTGGTGGCAGATCAATGTGGCCGCGTTCCTCGCCATCAGCACCGCCTCGCCCGACTCGATGGCAAAGATGATCCGGGAGGAGCCGGTGGGGCTCAGCCAGTGCCGCGAGAAGCTGCAGAAGCTGTGCGCGGAGGTGCGCGCCTTTGCCGGGGGCGGCTCGGCGCTGCCCTCGCGCAGGCTGCTCCTGGCGGGCTTCTCGCAGGGCGCGATGACGGCGATGGACACCGCGCTGCACATGCCGCCGACCGAGCCGCCCGCCGGCGTCGTCTTCCTCTCCGGCGCTCCGATCGTGGTGGAGCAGTGGTCCGCGCGGCTGCAGGCCCTCAAGCAGGCGGGCGAGGCGCTTCCCGTCCTCGTCACGCACGGCATGGCGGACGGCACGCTCCCCTTCGCGTGCTCCGGCTGGGTGCGCGATCTGCTGACCGCGAACGGAGCCGACGTCAAGTACGTGACCCACCCGGGCGGCCACGACCTCGGCGGCGCGTCGGTCGTGCGCAGCCTCGTCAGCTTCGTCGCCGCGCGCCTGGCCGACCGAGCCTGAGCGCCGGGCTGGAGGGGAGGCGCACCGCTGCGCTCTCTCGGCCACGGCTGCCGTGGCCCCGCAGCGGCGGTGTATCTCTGGCTAGCGGGCGGTGTCTCTCGCCCTCTAGCTCGCGAGTCGTAGGCAAGGAGGCCGGCGCGGGGCCCCGCGCACCGTGTCTCCGTGTGCGCGACACACGGCTCACGGCCGGCCGCGGCGTGGCGACGTGCGTGTCGGTGTGGAGATAGGGGTTTGTGCTGATAATATAAAACGGTTCGACACAACTACCGAAAGGCGCTGGCACCGTGTCCTGCATAGAAAATGGAGCGGTCGCTAGCCAACGTCTGGCACGCTGCCCGCTGCACGCCCTCTCCCCCTCTCACCACCGCTCTCCAGGCCTCAAGCTCTCTCCGACTCACTGCACACCGCCCCTATGCCTAGAGCTCCTCCTTGGACTCCCCCACGATGGGCAGGCCTGACTCCTGGTCGTACACGTCCCCCTCCTCGTCGACGGCGGGGTTGACGCTGCCCTCCCCGCCCTCCTCCCCGCCCATCCCTTCGGGCATAAAGTCCTTCATCTTGTCCATCATGCCGGCGAGGTCCTCCCTCCTGTACATGGTCCCGCTCATCCCCGTCTCCTTGAGGTTCGCCTGCATGTCCTGCATCTGCTTCTCCTCCGCCGTCAGCGCGTGGAACCTCTCGTCGTGCTTGCGCGTCCCTTTGAGCGGCGGCGTCTTCTTCTTGCACACGCCCGCCGCGCGGTTGCAGATGTAGCGCTGCACCTGCGGGGGGGAGGAGGCAATGGCGTGGCGTCGGACGCCGGAAGTCCCGCGCGCGCCCTCCAGTGCCCCGCAGCCGCTCTCCCTCTCGCCCGCGACCACAGAGCCCTCCCTCTCACTGGCTCGGCTAGCCTGCTCGAGGTCGTTGCCGTCCTGGATCGCCTTGTAGAGAATCTCGGTGAACTCGGTGTCTGCGCGGTCGAGCACCTCGTTGCACGCCGCCTCCACCGTCCGGCACTCGCGCTTGCACTTGCCCGCCTCAGGCTGAGACGCGAGCACCAGCTTGTCTCCCTCCTGCGTGAGGTCAATCTTCCCGACCCACTCGCCCTCGGGCTGCGCGCGGCGGAGGCGGGCGCGCTCAGCGATGCCACGCAAGCACGGTGGGCGGCCGCGTGCCCGGCGCGGGGGCGCGATCTCGCCTTGAGCGGGTTGCACATCTTTTCGGTGAACTCCTGCACCGCTCCCTCGCCGTCAAACTCGGTCGTATCACGCTTGCGCTTCTTCTTCTTGAGCTGCTCGAAGCGCTTCGTCAGGATCTCCTGCGCCTTGACGTGAGCCTGCTCCACCATCTTACGGCACACGCCGCAATAGATGTATTTGAGGTCAGACTTGAATGGGGCCGCCTGCGGGTCAAGGTTCTTGCGGCCCATCGGCGCGCCCTTGATGCCCATCTCCTCGAGCATCTCCTCCTCCTCTGCCGACATGCTCATGCCCTGGCCATAGGTTGTCAGAGCCAACGAACAGAGCAGCAGCCGGAGCAGCGGCGACATCTCGGGTACAAGTGTGCCACGTCAGGCAGCGTGGCCGGAAGAAATTACGCGACCGCGATGCGCTCCCCAATCCCGTTCGCCTGTGTCCCTGATCGTCCTTCAAGATCCTCTTTGGTTTCTCTGTTTTGCTTTTTCTTTCTTTTTCGAGTGGAGAGGAACAGAGGATATGCCGGTCCGTGGACCGGACCGTGCTCTGTCTATAGACGCTACTCGAGTAGTTTGGGACCTGCAGGTCTATCTCTGAGGGAGGGTGTAGAGGAGGAGAGTGTAGAGCGCTCGCTGTAGAGCTGTGGAGCGCTGTAGAGCTGTACAGCTCTACATCCGCCGCGTGACGAGGCGGGTGCGTTGTAGAGCGATGTAGAGGCGCTCTACAACGTGAAATCTCTACAACAAACTCTACATCATAAGCGGGAGCGGCCGCACTCTGCTCGCTACCCCCCCTGCACAAGCTCATGGCCGACCCCCCCCCCAGCAGCAGCGCTCTGCTGCTGGGGGGGTCGGGACCCCCCCCCCAGCAGCAGCCCTCTGCTGCTGGTCCGGACCCCCCCCCCCAGCAGGAGCGCTCTGCCTGTGGGGGGTGCTGGCATCTCTGTACAGACAGCAGCTGTAAGTAGCATGCGTTCCAGTGGCGAGAGTTTATAGTCGGCATCAAAATCAGTGGTCTCACCGGCGGGCCCTCCTACTGCCAACCGGGAGGTGCGGGGCACGCCAGCCTCTCTTCTACGCCTCTCGTGCCTCGCGGCTCCTCTGGCTCTGCTTCAAGGAGGGAAGATACGGCTCTCGCAGCCCATCGTACGCCGTGGCACAGCGGGGAGCACAGCGGGCTGTACAAGATATTGTTCCCTATCTTCGCATGCTCGTCGTTTGGTGATATCCGCGCGAGGTCATACGCCACAGGCCAGCAATCACTCGGTGATGAGACTACTGATGGAGGCGCGACGCTCTGACACCGAGTGTTGCTCGACACTGCGACACTGCCGAGTAAACGTTGCCAGCACTCGACACGACGAAGGTGTATTGGGCTCGAAGGCGCGGTGAACACAACCGCCTCGAGCGTACGAGTACCGCTTAAACACGAACTGAGGGCGGAGAGGGGGGGGCGGCGGCGAGGAGGCGGGAGAGCTGGGTCCAGTGCGCTCTGCTGCTGGGGGGGTCGGGACCCCCCCCCAGCAGGAGCGCTCTGCTGCTGGGGGGGTCGGGACCCCCCCCCCAGCAGGAGCGCTCTGCTGCTGGGGGGGTCAGACCCCCCCCCCTAGCAGCAGGGATGAGCTTAGTTGTGCAGGGGGGGTAGCGAGCAGAGTGCGGCCGCTCCGGCGAACGAGGCACGGTCGCTCTCCGACATGAGGCGCGTTGCACTTGCCAGTGCTGCCCTGGCCTTCTGTCTGCCCGCCCAATGGGTGGCAGGTGCCTCTGCTGCTGTGGCATGCCTCACGGCTGCGACTGGCCGGCGCCTCGGCGCGTCAGCTCGGCTCGGCGTAGCGATAGTGGCCAGCGCAACTCGCCTGGACTCAACGCTCAGCCATGGAGCTCCCGCACGCGCTGGCGCGGTCATGGCGCATGCAACGCGCAGCAATGCTCGCCTCGCCTCGCGCAAATGCGACCGTCCTCGCAGCCGACAGTCCACCGCCTGCTAAAGAAGCACAGCGACGAATGCGGCACCGGCGACGCATGGCAGGCTGGTCATGACGCAGTTGTAGGGTGTTGTGTGCCGTCAGAGTGACTCTCTGTGTGTTAGGGATAGTCAGGGCCGTCCATCAGAGCTCCAGTAAGCTCGGAGACACCCCATTAGCGCGGCTCGACCTCTTTGAGTCACTGCCTTCCCGGCGGGTTGGGGTTGCGGGTTGGCTGTATAGAGCCTCTACAACAAACTCGACAGCAAAATCGCGCTCTACATCGCTCTACAGGCGACTCACATCGTCACGCGCCGGATGTAGAGCTCTACAGCTCTACAGCGCTCCAGAGCGCTCTACATCTCTACAGCTCTACAGCGCTCTACACGCTCTACACATCCTCTACAGACTACACATACGTACCTGCAGCCTGCAGGCTGCACCCCCCTCCCTCAACGCGCTCAAGGTCTATCTTTCCAGGAACCACACGCATGGCATCACGCTTTACGGTGCCACCCTGCGACCAACCCCCAACCGTGCACCGTGCTTCGTACTATCTTTATACCGGCACGGGAGGCCGGCTGCGGGCCCGAGAGCGCCGCCACCCAGGAGTAACTCCCCGCCCACACGCACACACGTCACACCACCACAACTGTGCCGTCCACACCCGTAGAGGTCACTGTCACATCGCCGCGTCTGCCGGCGTCGGAGTACGCTCTCCGAACTAAATACAGCCGCCCGCGTCCTCCAACCGGGCGAGGGTAGAGGACCTCCGCGGCTCTTAGCAGCCCTCGCAAGTCGAGCAACCGGAGCAGCCCCGCCCGTTCTCCTCCGCCAGACGGTTGCCCACAGCGGTCGAGCCCAGCATGAGCGCGCATCCGCTGAGGTTGAGGGCGGTGCGGTAGGGGGCCGCCGCCGCCCACGCCGCCGCCGCGGTCACAAAGGAGATGCCGGTGAGCGACGCGGTGGTCGTCGCCACGCTCTCGTGCTTCGGGTAGCTCACCGCGTTGGAGAGCAGTCCACAGGGAATCACGAAGTAGTAGGCGAGCTTGCGAGCGACGGCGTGCATGCAGACGCTGCGACCGAAGATCTTGCCGCCGCTGGCCTGCAGCGACGGCAAGAGGACAGCGGCGATCGGCATCGCGGCGCAGTGGACGGCGCACAGCGCCGGCGCGGCGGCAGCGACGACGGAGGCGGCTGCGGTGACGCTGGCGAGCGTGTTCGCCAGCCGGTCCGTGGCGACGTCGTGCGCCGCACGGACCATTCGTGGGCTGATTTTCAGCCCAGAAGGGCAAGGCAGCCAAGCCGCCCACGCGGGAGAAGAAGAGAATTTTACCCAAAAAAAGACGTTCGCACGCGAAGAGAATTCGAGTGAGCTTCATCACCCAAAATAAGGACGGTTGGGGACAGCTCAGACTTGATACTGATGGACCTGGGCCAGGAGAGCGACAGAGAAGGCGAGGTGATGAATCCCTGGTCTGGACGGTTCTTTTCGGGATTTCGCGGTATCCGCGGCGGGATATGGCGGGATATGGCGGGATATGGCGGGATATGGCGGGATATGGCGGGATATGGCGGGATATGGCGGGATACGGTCAGATATGGATACATCAAGATACCGCAAAAGAACCGTCCAGACCAGAGGGCTTGATGAGCTGGGAAGCGGCCGCTTTGTTGGCACCTGGAGGGACGTATTGTCCCCACTCACAGTTATTGTTATGGTGTTATGGCTCTCTGGGCATAGCAGCCCATAACATGTTATGGCCTGCTATGGGAGGGCGTCCCGGGTCCACGGTGTTATGGCCCGAGAGGCCACGCCGGACTGCTCGCCGGTAGAATCGTTTCGCTTCGCGCGCTGCCGCGCGCGAGGTAGGTTCGGCATCGATCGCCAAATATTTTCTCTTTTGCCCTCACGTTAAATTCAATAACATATACCTGCCTCCTGAGGCTGAGCGATGGCTTCAGATTGCTCAATCAAGACCAGCCCCCCCCCCCCCCCCCCTCACGCAATTTGCTTCCCGTTTCTAACTCGTACTCTCTGCAGCTCTGCACGCTTCCCGTTTTTAACTTGTATGTCTTTCCCGCAATTTAACTCACGTCCTTGGAGCACTTGGAGTGCAGTTATCAACCTCACATCCAGGGCCGGGGAGCTAAGAAGCGCACCCAGCGAGCCGGATGATCGGTGTCGGGTTACGGGCTAGAGAGCCCTAGCCCCGGGGGTACGCGTTCGCAGGGCAAGGGCCGTAAAGTAAACACGGGTCTCCGAGGGTTAGCTCTGTGCTTTTTCTTTCCTTTTTCCACTACATGTCTCGAGGTTTCTAAAAAGTGGGAGGTGTTATGAGGTTGTTATGCTGGCTGTCATAACAACCAGTGCGCAGTGGGAGTTGTTATGAGTGCTATGAGGTGTTATGAGGTGTTATGAGGTGTTATGGGGTGTTATGAGCAGCCAGCCATAACAGCCGCTCCCATAACCTTGAGTGGGGACAAGACGTGGTCGCGATGAAGTGCCAAAAAGTACTATTTGCGGCTATTGCTCCAAGCTTCGGGAGAGAAGGGCTACATATTATGACTGCATCCATGCGCCTGGGTGCATGAGGGCTGTGGGTCGGGACATTTCACAGTCGATGGCGCCGATGATGACCTCCGGAAAGCCCTCACAATCGATCGGCTCGGATGGGGTCCACCGGGGACAATCTCGAGCCCTCTCCGTGGCATCACGAGCCGGTGTGAGCTTGAAGACCCAAGATAAGTGCGGTTCGGGACAGCTCAGACTCGGGTGTTGTCTCGACGGCCTCGAATAGTTTTTCTTGAGCGCGTCGCAATCCATCCAAGGAGAAGGAGGGGACGTCCGCATAACTTCGAGCCCCGACTCTCGCCATGGGCGCTGCAGCGTCGAAACGGGAGGTGAAGGCCACCGTGAGCTACCCCTCAGTTAGCTACCCCTCAGTTGCGCGAGCCAGCATCGCGCCGCTTCGCGAGAGTGAGCTCGGCAAAAGCCACGCCGAAGAGCCTCCATCGCGCCGGAAATCCAGAGAGGGGTCCGCGGCGCTTGTGGACGAGCTGGTGGCGAGGGAGCGGAGAAGCTCGCAGCCCATCCTGGACGTCGAGCGGCGCTCATCGACCCAACGCGTCTCGAGCACAGAGTTTGCCCGCCCAGCCCACATGCCGCCCACGCCCACTCAAAAGGCGGAAGGCGAGAGTGCCGCCGAGACGAGCGCAGAGGTGGGTGCGGAGCCTCAGCCGCGCGACGATGACGGCGCGGTGAGGAATGGTGCCGCCGAAGGAGTTGGTTCCGAGTGTGTTGAGGAGGTCGGCAGCGGGACAGCAAGTGGCAGCGGAGGCCCTGCGGTAGGCAAGGCGGGTGGGGCTCCACGCAAGTCCAAACGGAAATCTCGACTGAGCTCATGGCGCGAGGAGGCGGGCGAATCGAGAGAGGCGGCCTCCTCAGCCTCTACGGAGGACAGCCTCGCTAAGGCTTCGGACGCCCCCGGCACCTCGACGGCGAATGTCCGCCCCGACAGTCCGTCGCCCGTCGCTGAGAACGCTCTGGAGCCCTCGACAGACGCCAACGAGCCCGTCTCTGAGCAGGCTCCGGAGCCCTCGATAGAAGCCAACGAGCCGCCCGGCGCTGCTGAGAAGGGCCCGGAGGAAGTTATTCCCTCATCGGATGCCCCCTCCGCCGAGCTTCCGCCCCGCCTCACGGTTGTCGCGCCGCCTCGGTTTGAGGTCGCTGAGGCACCGTTATCCGTATTGCCGGCGTCTTTGTCCTCGAGCTTGTCCTCCTCCTCCTCCTTGGAGTCCAGCACCCCGGGGCGCAGCGAAGACGGTTCGCTGCCAGCGACCATTGAGCACGAAGAACCCGGGCTCGAAGATGATGAGTTGGCCGAGTGCGACGCGCTGCCGAGCACAGAGCACATCTCGAGGCGTCTGTCGGCTGAGCTGTAGATCGGATATCGACGGATTTTAAACACATTCCCACGGAAAACGCCGTGTACATACTACCACCAGGTGCGTCTCGCTCGTGCCAGGCTAGGTGTTTCCTCTCCGGCGTTCGGTCGGTGACTCTTTTTCTCTCTCTCAGACTTTCTTTTTCATTCGCAGAGAGAGATTTTTAGCAATACCAACAGTTCCTCATCAGTGTGTCCCGCCCAGGTGTACGTGGCTCTTTCAGAGAGTGTACCTATCACTCTCTCTCTCAGTGTACGTATTTTTAGCTTACCGCAAATCGATGCTGTCTGCCCGAGCGGGACGCCGAGCGTGACTCCCAACTCCACGATTTGCGGTCCACCGACAAATTTGGCTGCCCCCATCAAAGTTGACTTCATTCCTTATTTACATACATACCGGGAGAAATGGGAGAGGGGAGTGTATTCTCTACTCTCTCTCTCTCTCTCTCTCTCTCTCTCTCTCTCTCTCTCTCTCTCTCTCTCTCTCTCTCTCTCTCTCTCTCTCTCACTCAGTGTACGTACTTTTAGCTCTCTCTCAGTGTATGTGGCTCTTATTGCTATGGCAATATAATGAAAGCAACGAGAACGTCTAACGAGGACGTCAGTCAGCGGTCAAATTGTCAGGCCAGTGCCCCCGAGCGACACGCACATGGACATGGACATGGGACGAGAGCCTACGAGCGGCGACCGATACTTCATTCCGGCGAAAATGTTTTCCCGCCACCGACCGAGGCAGACACGGCGCGGGCGTGGGTGGGAGGCGACGGTCCTGTGGCTCGAGCACCACGGGCACGGCGTTGTCATCTGGTGTGACGGGGACACACGGCCTGCACGGCTTTCCCGCTCAGCTCTGCGCAGCCGATGCACTTTTCTCAGCAGCAAGAAGCGCTTGCGTGACGATGGGGATGGGGATGGGCGTGGAGGATCGAAAAACTCACAAACTTGGACGCACCGCAGAAGCGGCAGCCGAGACGGAGTCACCCCACAGGCGGAGCTTGAGCGCAGGGGATACAGAGACGGAGTCACCCCACAGGCGGAGCTTGAGCTCAGGGGATACGTTGTTCTCGCTGACGCCATCTCTTCTGGTTTGTCGGAAGAGCAGCAGCGACATTTTGCCGACAGCCCGCACTGGCGTGCCATCAGAGACGGCAACCGGGCCGGGAACAGCTCTCACAGCGATTGGATGAATTTCAGCGGGATGCGCCATAGCCTGCCTGTCTGTCTGCCGAGGCTCAGCGTCGAGATTTCCGGGTCTCTCGAGCGCGCCGGTCTACTCCAGGGACGACGGATTGCTGACTGGCGGGGCAGCACCCCGCCAGAGGAAGCTTATGTGGCAGGCCTCACTCTGCTTCGATCTGACCCTGGCGCACCAGATCAGCACCCGCACGCCGACCGTGGGCTCAGCGTTGGCGAATTTGGCTCTGCCGAGGCGTGAGCAGTCGATCTGTTCTCGCCCCTCTTTCTCCCGGAGTAGGCCAACAAAGCCACGCCTCCCCCCTGCTCAAAGGTGCCGCTCTCTGTCCTCGTCGCGCTGGAGGACGAGACCTCGCTCGCCATCCGTCCTCGTGGGGCGGCGGAATTCCTCCGCGTCAGAGTGCCCACGCTGGGGCTGGTTTGCTTTCGTGGCGACACCTGCCACTACGGTCTCGGCCTCGAGCACACCGCGAGGCAGCCTCACCATCGGCTTCACGCGTACGTTGATCCGGAGGGGTACGCTGCGCCGCAAAACGCACTGCACGGCTGCGTCCCGCCGCCGCTAGGTAGGGTAGGAAGGTGAAGAACAGTCAGGCTCGGACACCAGCGCGGTATGGGTGGACGCGGGACGGACAGATGATGACGACACGCACGAGCGACACCACAGACACAAAACAGGCTCACAAGACACACAGCCAGCTGGGCTGCCCCACACCCCGAGTGACCGTACGGCACTACGCCACTCGGGGCCACGCCCCCCCTGTCGCCCCCCCCAAGCACCCAAGGTGCCAAGGCGCAAGGGCACAAACAACAGCAGAACAACACAGACAGGCGACAGGGGGTAACGTGTGAGACTAGAGCAGGCTACTCCGCCTCTAGCAAACTCGCCGGCCGGCGGGGCACGGACGAGAGCACGTGTGGGTTCGTGTGAGGTGTCTATGGACGCAGGCATCATGCGTGGAGTCGCGCGTGTGTGAGGGTGTTTCCGCGGCGGTAGCGGGGCAACCCGTAGCCCTACACTCGCTCTCATGGTTGACGACAGTGCATATTGCGCTCAGCACCGGACCTGGCTGGCTGGTGCGCGAGTCTAGGGACGAGACTGGCCACTGGTAAAAAAGAAAAATACCGCGTGGCCCATGGCGACCGCACCGCCGTGGCAGCCTCACTCGCTCGTTGTGGTGAGCGGCCCGCCAGCAGCGGGCAAGTCGCGTTGCCCTACACTCGCTCTCATGGTTGACGACAGTGCATATGATGCGCTCAGCACCGGACCTGGCTGGCTGGTGCGCGAGTCGAGGTGCGAGATTGGCCGATAAGTAAAAAAGAAAAATAACGGGGCCGACGACCGCTCGACGCTGTATGGCGACCGCACCGCCGTGGCAGCCTCACTCGCTCGTTGTGGTGAGCGGCCCGCCAGCAGCGGGCAAGTCGCGCTACGTGCAGGAGCAGCAGCGCCGCGGCGCGCCGCACGTCCGCCTCTCGGTCGAGGAGAGGTCGAAGCATGTCGTTGTCAAGCGCATCAAGAAACACACGGACACCGTCTACGTCGTCGACGATCAGAACGGCGGCGCTGCGCGGGGACAGCTGCTCGCAGAGCTTGCGGACGCGCTGCCACCGTCGCCACTTCTCGTCTCCTGCAGGCCGGAGGGTGGGCGGCTCCAGTGCGAGTGGGCCAACGAGTGGGCGATGGCAGAGGCCGTCGCAGGGTCCGAACACTCATACCTCCCTCTCGCGGCGGGCGAGGCGTGCTCGCGCCGAGTATATGGGTCGACCCGCGCGGACCGCGCTCTCGACGGACCGTTGACCGCTGCTAGCGCGGGCGTTGACGACAAGTTTGCACGCACGGCAGAGGTGCAGCTGCCGCTGCGAGAGGATCTGAGCGGCTGCTTCGGCGAGAGCGCTCTGTTGATCGACGGGTGCTGCCTGTTTCATCCGCCGCGGGCGGGCGCATCGCCGAGGGACGCCCTCGTGTGGAACCACGAGGTGGCCGACGCGGTCGCCTGCTGGCTGGGCCACCGGCCGAGGGCGCGCCTGCTCGTCACGCTGCAGCCGCGCTCGCTCTTCGAGCCTCTCGTCGACCTCGTCGACTCGAGCGGCGACTCGGGCGCGTTCGAGGCGGCGCTCGCCCGGCTCGACAGCGGCGGCGCCCTCTTCGCGACAGCGCTCGACGGGCTCCGCGAGCTCGTCTCTCGCCTCGGCGCGCCCGCGCACTACCTCTGGCTCGCGCCTGGCGCACCACCCAGCACCACCGGCGGAGGCATCGGCGGCGGCATCGGCGGCGGCGGCGACGGCGGCGGTGGAGCCGGACAGAGCTGGCTCACGGGGGCGGTGGCGAGCGGCGCCGCCAGGGTGGCGGCCGATTCGTTGCTGCCCCCCGCGGGGTGTGTCGCACTCTGACACCCGTCGACTTGGTTCGCTCCTCAGGCGGACGGACGGCTCGTGGCTTGGCCGATGGCGTGGCTGGTGCGGCGGCACAAGGTTGCGCTGGATGAGCTGCTGGTGGTGCGGCGGGAGCGGCGCGCGGATGCGAGGGCGACTGTAGCGGCCCTCAGCTGTAGGGAGGGGTCGCCGTAGGTGAGTCCGGACGGCGACCGGCGGGCGATCGACTGCGGCATCCGGCAGATGCGGCTCGAAAGCTTTGTGCGCGTGGGCGGCGACACGCGCGACGTCAGCGGCCCACCTGCCGGCAGCATGCCGTCCTTCCTGCGACCCTTCCGCAGCGGTGGTAGCAGCGCATCGCCTCCGCCGCCGGCGGGCGAGCGCGAGGAGGCGCACGGCCGCATCCACGGCACAGTCGCCCCTCCGGGCGGCCACTCGCTCCCGCCGTCCTCGCGGGCACCCGCCGCCGCTGGCCCCGCCGCCGCTGCTCCCGCCACCGCTGGCCCTTTCGCCGCTGCTCCCGCCGCCAGCTCCGCCAATGCGAGGCCGGCCGCCGGTCCGTTTGGCCCTGGCTGCATCGAGGTCTACGTCGTCGACGGCGAGGGCGAGGGCAGCTGGTTCACGCTCTTTGACGACAAGGACGAGGACGAGATTGGGGGTGACAACTACGCCGCCAACCAGAGGCGGTTCAGGGCGCGGGCGGCGGTGGATGCTGACGAAGCGTGGTTTGACGAGCGGTTCGAGCGGGTCAGCGAGGCCTCGCACGGCTTCGACGGCGTCGCGCTCACCGCCGCTTGCGGCGGCACGGACGGCGCGCGGTACAAGCTCTCGCTGCAGCTCGCCGCGCCGCCCGACTCGCTGGTGCGGCGCGCCGAGTGCAGCTGCCCGGACTTCGCCAAGCGGCACCCGAGCGGTGTACTGGACGAGTCGGTCCCGCCCAGCTCCGCCTCCCTCTGCAAGCACCTCCTCACGCTGCTCATGCGTGCGAGGGTGGCGTCCGAGACGCCCGTCGAGCCGGATCCAATTCAAGCTCGCGGCACGCGCGGCACGTTTGTGCCTCAAAATGGCGGCGCAGGCTCCAGCGCGCCCCGGCCCCCCTCCTCTGGGAAGCGGCGGCTACCGGCGCGCTTGGGCACCGCGGCTAAGCCACAAGCCGAGGATGACGCCTCCCTGGAGCGCGAGCCGCAGGATCCCGCCCCTGACCGGCCCGAGTCTCTCTCGCGCCACTCCTCGGCCGCCGAGCCGGCCAGGCGGAGCGGAGGGCGCGGTGGCGCGCGTGGCGCAGGGCGCGGCGGCGGTGGCGGCGGTGGCGGGGGAAGGCGCCGCGCCGACCCACCGGCGCCCCGAGCAAAGCAGCCAGACCTCCCGCCGCCGCCCGAGGGGTTTGTGACGCTTCGCCAGCCGGTGACAGCTGCGCAGCTGGTCGAGCTCGCCAAGCAGACGCTCGAGAGAGCCGGGCAGGCCGGGGCTGCGGGACGGGCAGACAGGGTGCGATCGGATGCACTTGGCGCGAGCGCCCCGGGCCGGACGGGCGGCGGCGCCCCGTCAGCTGCGCCGGGCGGTCGCCGGGAGGCGGAGCCGTCACGAGAAGAAGGCAAGCAGGAGGCTTCGGAGGATGTGAATGTGAGCCCGACCCCGGTGGAGGACAAGGGCACGGGCCTTCCCGGCGCTTATCTGAGTCAACTCTACCCCGCATGGGAGCCCCCCAAGACTACCTCGGCCGCACCACTGGCCGCACCGGAGCTGGCACCGCCACCGCCACCGCCACCGCCGCCGGCACCGGCGCCGGCACCGGCGGCTCCGTCCTCATACTCAAGGGGCTGGAAGAGCAGCGCCGTGGCCAGTCTCTTTGACGATGATTGACGAGATGCGGCCGCGTCAGCTTCTGACGTCAGCATGTGCGTTGCGCGTTTTCTCCATGAACTTCTCGCACAAGCGCGTGGCGTGCCTCCCATGATTCTCTCGACCGCATGTTGTGACTTGTGTCGCTTCACGCGTTGTGCCGGTGTCGATGTCTCCACCTATATACGTGACTACCGAGCTCGCTCGCTGAGTCAGCTGTGGCTTCTGTCGTGTTTCGCTGAGAGTCTGTCGCTCTTGCCTCGCTTGTGCCGCGTCGTCACATTCTCTACGTAGACGAGAGCCGTGTAGTAAAGCCGTACTAGAAGCAAGGACGAAGGAGTGCGCGCAGACGGCAGAGAGCAGATGTATGTGTGCGGAGACACACACACACACACACACACACACACACACACACACACACACACACACACACACACACACACACACACACACACACACACACACACACACACACGAAGCGAAGGACACGAGCAACCTACGAACATGGGCGCGAGAAACAACACACAGCGAGAGGCACACATATATGTTCGTCGCAAGTACACAATCCCTCCACGCCTAGGGCCTGGCCAGAGCCCAATCACCCTTTCCATGGCAAAGGTAAGTATCTCCTGCACAGTAAGCCAGCAGGATCAGCAATATACAACGTCCAGACCTTCAAACGGCCTCCTCCGCGGGCGCCTCGACCTTCTTCGTGCATTGCGGAAAGCACTTTGGCATCGAGCACTTTGGCATCGAGCACTTTGGCATCGAGCACTTTGGCATCGAGCAGGACGGCGGCTTGCAGCAGGGCGGCTTCTCCTTCACCTCAGCCTCACCCTCCTTGTCTTCGATGTCAACCTCGTCCTCCTCCTCCGCTGGCGTATCTTTTCGTGGTGAGACCATTGCCTTTATCTTGGTGAGAAAGCCCGCCGGCTCCTCTGCGGCGGGCTCGACCTCAGACTCTGGCTCTTCCGATTCGTCCACCTGCTCCAACACCGTCCCAGCACTCGGCGTGCTCAGCACATAACCCTTGGTAGGGAGATTGGGCACCGCCACGTCCCCATCGGTAGTAAGCGCGTCAGGCGCAGTCGCCGGTTCGGCTGTCGCCATCTTTCCGCTCGAACAGCCCATAAGTTACCTGTGACGTGTGAGGAGACAACGGCGTGCGTGTGACGGCACGGCGGGGAGTGGTGGGCAGGAGGGCGGACAGCACGCGACCGGCAAACAAGGGGGTGCAGAATCACACGAGGCAGCCGAATCCGGCACACACCACGAGAACTCGACGCGGAAGTTTGTTGGTGCCCGCCGAAGGTTTTTAGCGGAGATTTCTTTCTTTTAAAGGACTTTTCTTTCTCCTTTTTTCAAAAACAATTGATGGATTCTTCACAACTATATATCTCACAGCTATATCTCCTGAAATTCCACACGGGTCCCCGAAGGCGGGTACCCCCGTGTAGTCGAAGCGCGATGGCTGTGAGATTTCACGAGCTTCTGGTTCCGCGTGGTGGAGCCCAGGAGGAGGGCTTTCATACACACGAACCAGTTGCGGCGCCCCTTGTCCGGCGTGTTGGCCATCACCTGGCTGCTTCTCTGGCTGACGAGGTGCAGCTTTGCCTGCGCGAGGGCCTGCAGCTGGTCGCGCAGCGCCTCCGCCTCCGCCTGTTGACAGCCACTGGTGTGAATACCACCCTTGGCAGCTGGCTGCGCAGCGCCTCTGCTCCGCCTCCGCCGCCTCCGCCCGGCCGGCGAGCGGCTCGAGCTTGCGCAGCCGAGCGTGCTGCTCGGCCAGCTGGGCGCGCAAGCCGGCGATGGCGCCCTCCGAACTGTCCTCGCCTAGAGCGTCGGCAAGCCTCGCCTCAGCCGGGAGGGGCGCCGACTCGTCTGCTGAACACCGCGTCGCGTCGTGTCTCACCGCTCTCGAGCTCCCGAAGCCGCGCCGACTCCGCCTCGAAAACGATGCGGCGAAGGGCGTCGATTCCGTCGCGAGCGGAGCGCTGCCCTGACGGGGTCCGCACGAGCGCAACGCCGTGCAGCACCTTCTTGCAGGCAGTCGGGTGAGCAGGGGAGTAGTGCAGCTGGAGTAGTGCGGTGTCGGGGAGTCGAAATGTGTCCGCACCTGCACGCACTCGAGCATGTCGTGTAGCTCCTCCGCCTGTTCACAGCTCCAGATCAAACGCCTCTCCATCCCTCGAGGCAAGCCGTGCAGCCACTCCGCCTCCGCGTCTCTCCGCGTGAGCGCCTCCTACAACCGAAATACGCCCGGGATGCACCCGAGATGCAGCCGAGGTGCAGTGCCCGCGCCGCTTGAGCGACTCCTCCAACTCCGCGAGGCTCCGCTGGCTCTCGGTCAGCTCCTCCTGTAGCGCCTCGGCCTGCCCCTTGGCCGCCTCGAGCTCGCGGCTAACCGCCTCCGAGGGCCCTGGGGGCGCCTCCCGCCACGCCTCTCCCTTCGTGTCTGCGGCCCCCGGCTCGCCGCTCCCTTGGTCACCCGCGAGCTGCAGCTTTGCCTGCGCGAGGGCCCGCAGCTGGCCGCTGCGCGCGAGCGCCAGCTCCGCGCGGGCGGCGCGCAGCTCCACCCTCAGCTTGTCGTTCTGCGCCTGTCCACAGCGAGACGCGTGAAGACGCTGTCCGCAGCTCCCACGCGCAGCTCGCCCTGCAGCGCCTGGATCTGCTCGGGCGAAAGCAGCGTGTTGACGACGGCGGCGTTCTTGATCGCCTTTGCGCGGACGGCGAACTGGAGCGTCGACTTGGTCTCCGCGGCGTTCTGCTGGGCGGGCGAGCACGCGACGAGAAGAAGCGTCTTGGAGTTGCCTGATTCACAACAGGAGGTGTGACCCGACGCGGCTCACGAGCCTCTCGGAGGAATCTCGGAGCCTATCTCGGCTCATCTCGTGCCTCCGAGCGACTCTTGCAGGACGCGGGTCAGCTTCGAGTTGCGGTACGGCACGTGCGCCTGGTGAGTATTGCTCTTCACGGGTGAACGAACCATAGCGTCGAGTTGCGGCACCGGCAACGTGCGCCTTCCCGTCGGCGAGGGCGGAGATGACGTGGCTGAGCGCAGAGAGCGACCCGTTGATCTTCTTCGCCTCGTCGAGCGTCACTCCGCTCGCACCTGCTCACAGCCGGACCCGCCGTCCACAGTCGCCGTTCACAGAACGCCCTGAGTGTGCCTCCGGCCGCGCCCGTCTTTGAGATCTTCTCGGAGCCGGCCAGGTCGGCGATGTTCAGCTTCGAGACGCGCACCGACCCATCGGATGACGTTTGCTGCAGCGTGAGCGTCAGTAGCGCGTGCGAGCGAGAGGACTGGCTGTTCATCAGAGTCGCGCTGACCATCCGATGCGCGTTGCCTATTCGCCACGCTGTTCGTCAACAGACGCCTTCGTCAGCATCGCGCCAGCCGCCCACCCAGCGGCGTGCCGCACTGCAGCACCTCGAGCACGTCCGCCTCGCTCGCCACCTTCATATGGCGCAGCCCCTCGACGTACACGCCCGCCTTGGCCGTCTCGCGGATCGCCCGCCCACCCGCCGCCCCGCCCGCCAGCAGGCTCTGGCGGTCGGTCGGTCGGTCAGTCTCGAGCAGGTCTCGCACCACCTCCTTGTAGATCTCGAGGTAGGAGCAGGTGAGGTCGAACTCGGCGCCGCTCAGCGACTCGAAGAGGTGCTGAACCGCTCGTGGAAGCACGCCCGGGTCGGCCGCCGTCCCCATCACGCTGTGCGTCTTGCCGGAGCCGGTCTGGCCGTAGGCGAGGATGGTGCCGTTGTAGCCCTGAAGCACGGCGTCGACGATGCCGGAGACGTGCCCGTACGTCTCAGCCTGCGTCGCCCACATTGGCAGCACCGCGTCGAAGGTGTGGCTCGCGCCGCCATCCTCGGCAAGCGAGACGGTGCGGCCATCGTCGGCGAAGCGGAAGGCTGGCGCGGACTGCTGCGACGCGGCCTCGCGCGCGCTCGGCGGCCGGAAGCGGGCGACGACCTTGATGGCCTCGCCAGCCATTTGGCGCCGCCGCGAGCTGTGCTTCTTCAAGCCTCCTCTCGCGCCGCCGCCGCGTCGGCGCGCAGGCCTCGCCGCTCCGCCTCGAGCGAGTTGACCTGGCCCTTCAAGCTGTGAAGCTGTGTTCAAAGCCCCGTGGGGGACGGACGATTCTTATTTCTTTTTCAGGGAGAGGTGAGAGACACATGGACCCGCCATGAAAACGGTATGGTGGGTGGACTAACTGTTTCTGTTAGGCCCAAAGTTAACGTTTGACAGCTCTGTATATTCTGTACGTGTTGGGTGTACCGACACCCACTGTTGACTGTATAGCAAGTATAGGCCGCTAAAGGCCCCACGCGCGCAGCGTGCGAGAGCGGAGCTGGAAGCGAGTCTCTCTCATACGTACGTTATGCGGAGGTTGTGAAGCTCTGAGATGCCATTTCACACTCTCATGCCCCCGCGCCCCGCCCCACACCCACCCCTCGCCCCACGAGCCTGACCGGCCACCGCAACCCTGGCGACGCGGCCTCGCCCGGAGGATACAGACAAACATGTCTCCGCTCATAACTCCCCGCTGGTCCCGGGTCAGCCTCACTCGCTCTCGGGGGGCGGCGCAAACTCCTGGCTCGGCGTGGCCGCGGCGCGCACCGCGAACCCCGCGGTGGCGCAGCACTCCTTGACAGCGCTGATCGCGACCGTCCGGCGGTGAAAGATGGACGCGGCGAGCGCCGCCTCGACCTGCGTGCTGCGGAAGACCTCGCTGAAGTGCTCGGGCGCGCCGGCGCCCGACGAGGCAATCACCGGGATCGAGACGGCCGCCTTGAGCATCGCCATGAGCGGCAGGTCGAAGCCGGCGTGCTGCCCTGCGAGCGGTGCGCGGCGCGGTGGGCGAGGCCGTGGCAAAGGGCGGGTGGACAGGGGGGAGGGAGGGGGGGAGGGCGGGGAGGGGGAGGAGGGGCGGGGAGACGCCGTCGCAGTCGATGCAGTTGACGAGCAGCTCGCCGGCCCCGAGCGCCTCCACCGCGCGCGCCACCTGCACGACGTCGAGCCCCGACCCCTTGCGGCCGCCCTGCAGCGTGCACTCGTACCAGCAGAGCGACTCGCCGGCGGGACCGCGTCCGCCGCGGCCGAGCGGACCCGCGTGGTCGGCGAGCGCGTGCCCCTCTGCGGCGGCGGCGTCCGCCACCCACACGCGGCGCGGGTCGATCGAGACGACGCACGCCTGCGCGCCGTACTTTGCGGAGATGGCCTCGATCGAGGTCGAGCCGTCGCACGTGCCTCCGCGCTCGAGGTACGCGCGGGCAGCCTCCGCCGCGTCGGAGCCGAGAGAGACCTTGTCCGCGCCGGCGCGGAAGTAGGCGTCGGCGACCTGCAGCGCGGACGAGCGTGAGCGACACTTCCTAGACGCTTCCTAGCCGCTTCCTAGACGCTTCCTAGCCGCTTCCTAGACGCTTCCTAGACGCTTCCTAGACGCTTCCTAGACGCTTCCTAGACCTGCAGCGCGGACGAGCGTGTTCCCTGCGCGTCGACGAGGTCCTTGATGCCGCCTGCGGGGAGACGCGGGGGAGGGGGGAGGTGTGTGCGTGTGTGTGCGTCTGCGTGCTTGCGTGTGCGAGGCGGTGTGCCTCCGACACAGAGCGGGACGAAGCAGGTGCGAGACGCCTCGGCGAGCACCTGGAGCAGGGAGGGAGGGGAGGGGGGAGGGGGTGGGGGTGAGGGAGCGGGGCGGGGGGAGGGGAGGGAGGGTGGTACTGGCCCGGCGGGGGGGGAGAGGGGCGCACTTTGAGCATCGGCAGGTCCGTCAGCGGGCACTACTACTACTACTACTAATAATAATACTCACTTTGAGCATCGGCAGGTCCGTCAGCGGGCACTCGCGGAAGCCCGTGATGTTGAGGAAAGTGACCTCGTCTGCCCCCTCCTCGTAGTACCTGCTCACGGCTAGACGTGTGAAGAAGGCTGAGGGAGGCGGCCTCGCCCCCTCCTCGCGGCGCCTCCGCGCCAGCGCCACCGGCTTGCCCAGGTTGCGCACCTCGCCGCCGCCCTGTCGGGGAGTGCCGAGGGTGTCGAGGAGGAGACGACGAGGGGCCGAGGGGCTCGTGAGGGTGGAATGTCCTCCCCCCCCCCCCCCCCCTCGCCACGGCGGCTACCCGCGGATCTACGGCTCCGCGGGCCTTCTCGCGGCAGTCGTACTGGTCGCCCTTGGTCACCACGAGGTCGCCCGCGTCGTTGGCGCGCACGTCGAGGCAGGCGACGATGCGGCGGCAAGGGCCCGCGGACAGCTTGCCCGCGCCGAGCCGCGGCCGCGTGCTACCGCCTCCGGCGGCGGCGGCGGCGACCGCGCGCGGCGGCGGCTCTGCGGTCGACGAGGCGAGGAAGGCTCCGAGCAGCGCGAGCCCGACGGCGCCAGACTTCTCGGGGTGGAACTGGACCGCGGCGACCTTGCCGTTGGCGACGCCCTGCGGCGGAGGGGCGGTCGGGGTCGTCCCCTCGGTGCCGCCACCGGACGGTTGGCTCAGCGCGAGACGCCGCGCCGGTGGGTGGGTGTGGTGCGCAGCGTGTGGTGAGAGGCGTGTGGTGGGAGGCGTGTGGTGTGTGGTGCAGCGCGGCGCACCGAGACGAACCGATCGCCGTACTCGGTCTCGCAGAGCACCCACGGCGCGACGGCCTCGGAGCGCGGCACGCGGAAGGAGTGGACAAAGTAGAGCGCGTCTCCCTCCGCCAGCGAGCCGAGCAGCGGCGACGGCTGCGCCGCCGCCACACCGTTCCACCCGATCTGCGGGACGCACAGACCGTGCGACGCGACGTCAAACCGACCGACGGCGCCTGTGGGCGGCGCGACCGCGTCGGTGAGTGCGGACCGGTGGCACCACGGCGCGCGGAGGTCTCGGGCCGCTCCAGGCCTCGCGTCATGCGGGGCGGGCGGGCGGGCGGGCGGCGCTGACCAGGCACGACGCCAAGTCCAGCGACGCCAGGGCTCTCCTCTGACGACTCGAACAGCGTCTGCATGCCAAGGCAGATGCCGAGGAAGGGCCGGCCGGCGCGGATGTACGCGCGCAGCGGCTCCACCAGCTGTTTTCGCTCGAGCATCGCCATGCAAGAGCCAAACGCGCCCACTCCCGGGAAGAAGAGAATCGCGGCCGACGCGACGGCCTCTGGCTTGTCCGTCTGCTCGACATCGCAGCCGAGAGCGACGAGCGCGTTGTAGAGCGACTTCACGTTGCCGGCGCCGTAGTCGAGCAGGGTGACGCGCGTCATGGAGTTGCGGTCGGCCGGGCCCGACCTCGGCGTAACCTTCAAAGAAAAGAATTCACTGAGGCCGCCGCCTCTGTCAGTGTGCCGCCCCGATAATAGTGAGAGACTGCCAGTGAGAAGCCGGAGGAAGGTCGCTAGTCGAGAGAGATCGCCAGTGGAATAGGGAGTCCACTGTGCTGCGAGCCCGTCGCTGTCCCTTGTCAGGAGCAGGAGGACTAGGAGAGCGCAACCAGTAGGAGGCCCGCGCCTGCCCCCGTGCCGCCGGGTGCAACTTTGTCCTATACGAGAGGGGAATCCCGGGACCCTGTCGTGTGGGTAAACCCTGCCCAGCCCCCCTCTCCGTGTCGCGATGCGCTCCCCACTCCCGTGGCCCCTGTCCCTGTACCCTGATCGTCCTTCCAAGATCATGTTGTTTGGTGTGTCTGTTTTATTTATTTATTTAAGGTCCCCCGGGCCACTTTCGGGGGGCAAACCCTGCCCGGCCCCTAGGACCCCGGGTAAGGCCCAGGTGTGGCCTAGGGCATCAGAAGGGACCCAGAGGAGTCCAGTCTGAGCCATAGAGCCCATGTCTTCGCCCCCGAAGGTCGCGTTCAAATGCCCGGAACGGACGTCACAGTGGTGTCCGGCCGGCGCGATCACCGAGCTGTGACGCTCAGGGAAGCCCGATGAGGTGCTGGTTTCTTTGCCCAGGGCTGGCCTTCCCCCCAGGCTGGATCAGCTGAGCAAGGTTTGGGGAGAATCCTATAGAAGGATCTTCAGATATTTTGACGGATGACCGAAAATGGGCAAAAACGGGGTGATTTTCTTAAAACATGTGTGGTGGCGGCGTGCCGTCCTCCCATCCCTCCCTTGCGCCTTGGGTGGCACTTGGAGCACTTGGAGTGCAGTTATTTGCCGCACGCCCAGGACCGGGGAGCTCAGAAGCGCACCCAGTTGGCCGGACGATTGGGAGATCGGGTTACGGGCTAGAGAGCCCTAGCCCTGGGGGGTGCGCGGTCGCAGGGCCATAACACGGGTCTCCGAGGGTTGGCTCCGTGTACCGGGTTTCCCCTTAACTGCAGAACGCCCCCTCTACTCGGAGCTAGTGGACACGACACTAGCTAGTGATACGAGAATACGTACCGCCCCCACGCAACTACTCGACGATAATACGAGAATAGATGGCCGGTTTTCTTTCTTTCTTTTTGTCTGTTTTCTTTCTTTCTTTACATGAGACTCGATTGATTCTAATCTCCCGGTCCTTTACCTTTTCTTCTTCACTCTCTCGGAAGAAAACGCGCAATCCGCAAAGCGCTCTTTTAGCCCGCGGGACCGCGGCCCGCCGTGGCGTTGGAGAGACACCCGCGCGGCCCGGACCCGCGGGGACCAGGGAGAACGGAGATGTGCCAGGTTCGGCATCCTTGGCTTCCTCTCTTTTTCGTTTTCGACTGTACATGTAGGAAACTTCATAAGACAGCAGCGTCAATCCATCTCTTCAATCTTGCTCATCCGTTGGATGGCGCGCTCTTGGAAGGCTTTGGCGCCGCCGAGAGCGCTCCACCGCGCAAAGCACGGGCCGCACCACAGGCCGACGAACCACGTCGCGAGGCGCTTGACGAAGCTGAGCGAGGCGTACCCGCCGAGGAGGCGGAGCAGAGCGAGACAGGCCGCCGCCAGGGCATGCGGCAGGTGGCACCAGCTGACGAGGCAGGCGCTCATGGCCACAGGCGCGCCGAGCATCATGTCGGTGAAGAGCAATGTCGCCCCCTGCGGCGAGCCGCCGCCCACGATACCCACCATGGCGCCGGAGGCGCCGCCCGACGCGACGATCAGCTTGGCCAGGTGGAGCACCGACTTGTCCATGTCCTCCATCGAGCAGACGCCGCCGTTGACGAGGCAAAAGGCGGTATTCGAGAGCGCCGCGTTGAGCGCGTTGATGGCGTGGCCGTACATCTCCTTGCGCAAGACTGCCACGTCGAGCCGCAGGCGCTCCTGCCCGTAGAAGCTCGCCAGCCAGTCCGTGTGCGCCGCGCTGCTGCCCAGCACCTCGACGAAAGAGTCCCACTGGGGCAGCGTCGGGTGGGCCGTGGCGATGCGCTCGGGCGCACGCGTTGCTCTAGCGCGCACCAGCGAGAGCGGGATGAAGCTGCTGGACGTGCCGATGAGCACGTGCGGCGGTGCGAGGTCGTCGATCTGCTGGATGATGCGCTGCTTGAGGCCCAGCTCTTCCACCACCGACTCTTGCACGTAGTCGGCCGTGGCGACGCACTCGGCGAGGCTCCGCACGCACTTGACCCTGCGCCATCCGTCGGTGTCCGAGGCCGAGGCGACGCCACGCACCAGGATCTTGCTCCACGCCGACTGGAGGAAGGAGTAGAATTTGTCCTCGCTCGCTTGCGTGCGCACGTATGCCGTGACCGAGTATCCTTTCGCCAGGTAGACGGCGGCCCACCCCGAGCCGATGGTGCCCGTACCGACGATTGCGATGCGCGATACGTCCCCGGGGTGCACGCGGCCCTGCACTCTGGGGGCGGGCGGCGGCGATCGGATCGAGCGGCCTTTGGATCGCATGTGTGTGTTCTCGCTGCCCGCCCAAAAGCGACAAGGCAACCCGCAGCCCTCGCGCGCATCTCCCTCTTAACCTCTTCCCACCCAGGTTTCGCGACTCTGCGTGGCCGACTCACACAACGAGCCTTCCTGTCTCCCTGCTGCCGATTCATCGAGCGTGCTCAGTCAAGATATTGTAGAGACCGACCATATGCACAATATCTTGACTGAGAGCTAACTAAGCCCAGTTCGACGATCGGCAGCCTCACCGCGGGTGGGTCGCGCCGCTGCGCAGCGAGAGCCAGGCTCGCCCGGCGAAGGTGACCAGAGAGTGCAAAACAAATACCAGAAAAATTCAGGGAGCCTCAGGGAGTGCCACTGCCATCACCCAGGCCGTGGGAGCCGATCGCGGCTGCGCCGAGGACAGCTCCCTCAGAGTGTGCTCCGCGGCTCACCAGTGTGCGCCGCGGCGCCGTCCAGCCACTTTGGCGGCCAGCCACCGGACGAGTTCTTCGACTCTGAAGGACAGAAAGGTACCGTCTGAAAGGTATTTTCATGCTCTATTGACTGGCGAAAAAATCCCCCGCAAAATGTTTTCACAGCGGGCGTGATTCACACCGAAGCATGAGTGAAGCACGGGGTGGGAAGAGGTTAATACTGTCCCGTTTTGCTGTTCACAGCTAGGGACGGCCTCTGCGGCAAAGTCAAGCCACCCCACCGTCCCGACGTCCCACCCAAGAGCCTAGGTACTCGCATAATGTGGGTAAACGAAAGTAGCGTGTACGCTACTATGAATGAAGAAGCCGAAAAAATGGAGCTAGCTAGGTGAACAGGAGCGAGTTCGCGCTGCGCTAGGCTCAGACGGCGAGTTCGCGCTGCGCTAGGCTCAGACGGCGAGTTCGCGCTGCGCTAGGCTCCGCGAGTTCGCGCTGCGGGCTACGGAAGACTACGGTTGTCGTCGGACGTCGCGGGCGCCGCGCTGCGCGCGCGGTGTAAAGGGGGTAAGGCGGGGCCGGGGGACACCTCGACTGCCGCGATGTGTAAGCTGCGTTGGCTCGCCAAAGTTAGTTTTTGCAACATTGTGAAGAGAAGTACTGTCTGCGCGGCACGTGCAGTCGCCACTAGAATATCTCTTCTCCCTCGGACGCGCTGGGCAGCGGGGACGGGATGGGGAGGCCGAGCCGCTCGGCGGTCTGCTGCGCCTCCTCCAGCGAGATCATCTCCACCAGCTTGTCGTCACACAGCCGCCAGCACGACCGCTGCCCTGGTTGGATGGCGCGATAGAGAGGCTTGAGGTCGGCAGACAGCTGTTCGAACTCCGCCTCGCACAGGTCGTACCCTGGTAGTCATTGCCAATGAGGTTGTACCGGATCCCGACGATGGGTGACATGCCGGAGCGGTCGCACGTCACACCCGGGTGGTGGCCCTTGGCAGCGGCGTCAGCGTCAAAGCAGTCCCACTGGACGCCCTCCTAAATAACGCACGGGCCCTCAGCGGAGCTGGGAATAGGACCGCCGCAAGCGGCGTGGCGTGGGGCGGTTGAGCATCCCTCCGGGGGCCCCTCTGCGCCGGGGAGGCGTTGTTGGAGGCTAGGACGCAGCGCCCGTCGCCTTTTTCAAACTCGGGGCCCACTCCGCTGTGCGCTCCGACCCGAATTTGGAGGGCCATGAAATTTAAGGTGTTGCTGCGCAAAAGGGGCGGGGCGCGGGCGCGCGCCGCCCGCCGACGAGCTCTTTTTGGAGACCAGACCTTTCGATGGTTCATGCTTTCTATGTCTATCTATCATGCTTCATGACACGACACGCGGTGGTGGGAGCTGGTGGAGCTGTCAGCTGATCGATCCAAGCGGGTGGGGAGTGGGGGGCATGGCTGGGCATGCAGGTCCGCCAGTCGGCCCGGCCTCTGACGTGGTGCTGCCGCTGCATTCGCTGAAGAAGAGAGGTGCGACTTGATTGGAGGCGCTGGAGGCGATGGCGCTAGCGAAGGGAGGTTGGGCCGGGCCGTGAGGGGCTGATGGCGCTGGCCAGCGCGGGGTGTGAGATGCCGTCGTCGTCGTATACTGCTGGCCCTCGCCCTCAGTTGCCAGGGCTGTGGGCTGCAGAATTGGCGTCTGTGGCGTCTACGCAGGCTCTGCAGCGTGATGGCTGGCGGGACTGCGAGGCCGGCGGCAGCGGAAGGAGAGGCTGGGCACGAGCCAGGAACAGGCTGGCCAGGTCCGCAGGTGGCTGCGCTCGGGCGAGGCGCGCGCGCACATGGCAGGCCGAGCAGGCTCGGCATATGGTGAACCCCCGATGTCGCGATGGCGGCGCCCGCTTTTTCCGCGATCATTTCGTCCGTCCAATCGAAAAAAGCGCCGGATCGTCGGATTTTCGCTATTTGGTCGTGTGGGTGTGTACCGGGATAGTCAATGGTACCGCGTCGGCGACGCGGGCGCCTTGCGGGCAGAGCCCTTACCACCCTTTGTCTTGCGCGGTCAAGGGCCCGCCCAAAAGCGATGCCGCAAAAAATGTATGTCTAATGTCTAATGGGGCCCCCCACCCAGGCCGACCCCTGTTTAGACCCAGTTTATCGTAAACAGGACTAATCTGGTTCGTGTTCAGCCGTGGCCCGTGCGTGGTCTAATTGGTCTAAACATGGTCTAAACTGGTTCGCCGTGCACCCTCCTACCCACTCACTTCCTTCGCGTCGTAGTACTGACTACTGTGCGCCCCGTCCACTTCCATCCAGCCTGTAGCCTTCTTGACCCGCGTGTGGTGGCTGGTGCTAGTAAGCAAGGGCGTAGACTGTCTACTCCCTTTAGTGCTACAGTAGCCGTCGCCCACCCTTGGGCGTCTGCCTCTTCCTATCTCTTTTCGCAGTCTCTCGCCGGTTCTCGCTGCAACCTTCATGCCACCTCGCGGTCGTCCCACTCTCTTCGCGTTCTCTTTCTTTTCGCTTCTTCCTCTTGTCGCGTCGCTCTCCTCTGTCTCGTTCTGCGACGGCGCCGCCGCCTGCCAATCCCTTGCTCTCGCTGCGCCTCTCGCCTTTCGTCGCAGCTCTGCCCTTCTCGCGGCATATTTTGGCCCCTCGAGCTTATCGAGCTCTCCTCGCGCAAGGACGAAAAAGAAAGAAAACAGACAACCCAAGGGAGGAATGGGAGGACGACTCTTCTGACACCCGGCGCTGCAATTCTTTTCCAACCATTCATGTCGGCGCTCAGCTTGCGCGCGCGCCTCGCCACATTCACTACGGCTCGCTGGCAGAGGTCGAGCGGGACCGCTTGGCGAAGCTCGAGGCGGAGACCAAGCAGAAGCTGGAGAGCCTGCGCGCTGCAACCAAGGGTGGCGCGCCGGCCGCGAGCGCGCCGGCGGCGCCCGAGCCCGAGTTAATAAATAAATAAATACAACGGACACCCCCCAAGCTCGGGCTAAAGAAAAGAAAGAAAGAAAACAGACAACCCAAGGGAGGGATGGGAGGACGGCACGCCGCCACCACACAGGGATTTTAAGGAGAGGTGTGTGGTGCGCTATCCGTCGCCCACCCTAGGGAGTCTGCCTCTTCCTATCTCTCTTCGCAGTCTCTCGCCGATTCTCGCTGCAACCTTCATGCCACCTCGCGGTCGTCCCACCCTCGTCGTTCTCTCCCTTGTCACTTCCTCCTCTGTCGCGTCGTTCTCTTCTGCCTCGTCCTGCGACGCCGCCGCCTGCCGGTCCCTTGTTCTCGCGGCTTCTTTCGCCTTTCGGCGCAACTCCGTCCTCCTCGCGGCGTATCCTGGCCCCTCGAGTCTATCGAGCTCCCCTCGCGCAAGGACCACATTTCTGACTCCCACTCCGATCATTTGCCTACAGGTCATGTTGTTGCTCAGGTCCACTCTCTCTTCGAACACTCGTGCCTCTACGGATGATGCCGGCGCTGGGGTCCCCTTCGGAAGCTCGGGCTGGGTCGAGGACAGAAACAGCGAAATTTCTTTTCCCACATCAGCATACACATCTGTGGTTATGTCGGCGCTCAGCTTCCGGCGTTTGGGCGCCGCGTGGCGCGCCGCCCCCGCTGTTGCGGCCAGCAGCAGACTTCTGTGCACCGACGCGCTCACCACGCCGGCGGAATCCGGAAAGGCGGTCGGCTCCGTCGAGCGCAAGCCGCAGCTCGACTCTCGCGCGGTGAGCGCCTTCACCGGCACGCCAAAGGAGTTGCTGGACAAGCGGGTGGTCACGATTTACCAGCCCGCGCCTGGCGTGCAGAACGCCTCCAAGGGCTGCTGGAAGATCTCTTGGGACGACGAGAACACGCAGCGGTGGTCCAACCCGCTCATGGGATGGACGTCGACGCGCGACCCGTTCTCAAACACGCCGATGACGCTCGAGTTCCACAGCGCCGAGGACGCGATCCGGTTCGTTCAGAATAACGGTACCGCGCGCCCCCTCCCCTCCCACCCCCCCTCCCCTTCTCCCACTACCGCCGTGGCGCTGGGGCGTGCACGCGCGGCGCCCCAGAGAACACTCGGACGAGCCGCGTGGCGGTGGGGCAAGTGAGCCCGCCCTCCCGCCTCCCCCCACAAGGCTGGAAGTACGAGGTGCAGGAGCCGGTCAGCCAGAACCTCGCGCTTGTGAGCAAGGGCCCCAGGTCGTACGCCAACAACTTTACGTGGAAGGTCTGTGCCCTGCGCCCACACACCAACACCCTCCCTACCCCGCTACACCCCTCCCCCCTTCCCGCAAGACGCACACGCACACGCACGCACGCACGCACGCACGCACGCACGCACGCACGCACGCACGCACGCACGCACCACCACACACCAACACCGTCGCGGCCGCAGTACCAACTCCTTCTCTTTTGAGCGCTTCCTCCCTCCGCGCGCTCTTGCGAACAGGGCCCAAAGACGCGCCAGTCGCAGTGTGGCGCCGGCAACATGCAGTCCTTCCCGGAGCTGTACGAGCCGCCGCCGCCGCCGCCCAAGAAGTGATGAGGTGGCTCGTGTCACCGTGGCCCTCGCAACCACGGCGCCGCCCTTCTCAACGGTTGATTGTTTTCTTTTTCTCAAGAACAAGCAAGACAACAACACACGACAACAGGGCTCCAGGCCCCAAATGATGATTGATGTGTGAGTGTTATGTTGAGGTCGATTCTCTTTTCTTGCGCCGTGTTTCCCCTCCGCTTTGTGTGCCGCCGTCGCGCGTGTTCCGCCTACACGAGGCCGCGGTGGTGTGTGTGTCGCCGCCGTCGCCGCCGAAGGTCCTGCTCACCACATATATGGCAGCCCGTCGCGGCCTCGGCCGCATCACCGCCGCGTGCGAGGCCGGCGTGACGCGGCTGACACGCGTGGCTCACCGCGCGCCATGCCGACTCCTGCCGATGGCCGACGGTGCCGCGGCCGCCGCTGGCGCCGGCGCCGCGCACTGTGCAATCGGCGGCTACGGCGGCGGCCTCCTCGGCGGTGACGTGGTTGAGCTGGAGGTGGAGGTGGAGGCTGGCGCAGCGCTGCTGCTCACGACGCAGGCATCGACCAAGGTTTACCGCACCAAACGCGACGGGATCGCCGCGACGCAGAGCCTCAACGCCACGGTGGACGACGGCGGGCTGCTCGTGCTCGCTCCCGACCCGGTCGTGCCTTACGAGGTGCCGGCCCGTCCGCTGCCCGGCACGCGCCCGCCGCCGCCTGCCTCCCTTCCATCACCGCCGGTCCCCGTGCACGCGTCTCCAGTCGGCGGCCTACGAGCAGCGGCAGCGCTTCATGCTCTCGCCCGCCGCGTCGCTCGTCGCGGTGGACTGGGTGGGTGCGGGGCGCGTGAGCCGCGGCGAGCGGTGGGCCTTCAGCCACTTCGCCTCTCGCAACGAGGCGCCGCGCCATCCGCCCTCCTCTGCTCGCGCCCGCCCTCGCACACCCTCGCACACCCTCAAACACATTTCCGCACAACCCCACACGACCCTCGCACCAACCCTCGCACCAACCCTCGCACCAACCCTCGCACCAACCCTCGCACACCCTCGCACCGCCGACGCACCGCCGACGCGCTACTCTCTCTCGCCCTCCCGCCGCGAGGTGCTCCGCCGGCCAGAGGCGGGAGCGGCGCCAGCCAAGGCGGTGGCGGTGGACGCGATGCGTCTGAGTGGCGGCGCGGGGCTGCTCGGCCTCGACCTCGGCCGCGTGGAGTACGACACCGTCGTGAGCGTCTTGTGCTCGGGCGAGGAGGCGGCGCCGGTCGCAGAGCGGCTGCGCATGCTCAGCTCCGCGCTCGCGCACCGGCGGGTCGGCCAGAGGCCGGGCGTGCTCAGGGCGGCGCTCGCGGAGGAGGTGTCCGAGCCGGCGGCCGCCGCGGCGCGCGCGCTGCTCGGGAACGTGGTGGTTGGCGTCGGGGTCGCGCAGGGCAGCGCAGCACCAAAGGGCGGCGGCGGCAGCGGCGGTGGGGCTGGCGCCGGCGCGCTGGACGTGGTCATCGCTCGTCTTGCGGCGGAGCACGCCGAAGATGTGCGCGCGCGGGCCCGGCTGGCCGCACCGCCTCGCCTTTCACCCGCGCCGCCCGCTCGCGCTCGGTGGCAGGTATTCCGGCTGCTTCACTTCGCCATGGCGCCGCTCGCGCCTCGGCTCGGCGCCTCGCCGTACGGCCTGCGCATCCACGCCGACGTCGCCGCGCTGTGCCCGATCAAGGTGCGCCCTCCCCGCCCCTCCCGCCGCCCCTGCTGTGCGTCCCCTCACCCCCGTCCCCGCGGGCCCAGGCCGGGGCTGCTGCGGCCGCCGCTGCCGCCGCACCGCCACCACCAACGACGGAGGCTGCGAGAGCGACCTCCTCCCTCGCCGCCCCTCTTGCGCCGGCCTTGTCGATCGCACGCGGGCTGTCGATCCGAGCCCCGGGCGGCAACGGGTGGGTGCCCGTGCAGCGGGCCATCTCCGCCGCTGCTGGCCTCCCGCCCGGGGAGGAGGCGCCGCCGCCGCCGCCGCTGGCGCTGAGCCCGCGGCAGCGCGCGAGGATGGCGCACTTGAGCGACGCGACTCTGCCGACGGGCGGCTTCGCACACTCGGGCGAGAGGGCCGAGGGCGGCGCGGCGCGGCCGTGCCGTCTGTGCTCACCACCTTCGCGCCTCTCGCCCAGGCGGGCTCGAGGCGGCGTCGCAGCTCGGACTGCTCGGCGGCGGAGACGAGGCGGTGCGTCGCTTCACGCGCGCCGCGACTCACTCGACCGCGACGCTGCTCGCCCCGTTCGCCGCCGGGGCGTGCTCGCTCTTCTCGTCGCCCGTCGGCAAGGAGGGCCCCAGCCCGGCGCGCGAGGGGGGGCAGTGCCCACGGGGGGTAAGCGGGGAGGCGGCGCTGAGGGCTCGCGCTCAGTGAAAGCGTAGGCGCAGTGGCGCGAGTGGGAGGCGCTCGACACGGCGCTGCACGCGCAGCTCAGCGCCAACGGCCCCGCGCGGCGTGCATCGGCGGAGCAAGGCCGCGCCCTCTCCCGCGTCGGCGCCGTGTGGCTGCGGCAAGAGGCTGCCGCCCGCGACCTCTGCAACGACGCCCCCGTCCGCGCGTGCCGCCCGCCGTGCCGCCCGCCGCCTCACTCGCTCCGGTGGCGTCTCCTAGGCGCCGCGTTCGGTGACCGTGGCGCCAACCCCAACCGCGCGCCGCACGGCGCCACCATGCTGGGAGCTCTCTGCGCGCTGCTCGGCCTCCCGCCGCAGGTCGCGGCGAGAGAGACGGGTCGAGTCTCTCCGGGCCGGAGGGCGTTGACCGGCGAGGGTCGCTTGCAGGTTGCGGCCGAGGTGATCGCCTATACGACGGCGCGCGACGTGCTCTCGGCGGCGGTGCGCGAGACCCTCTCTCCTCGTTCTGAGCCAGTTTGCCCCGCCTTCCGCCCTTCCCCCTCCCCGGCTCGGTTTCCTGATGCCTAGCTCCAAGCCATGCACAGGTGCGGCTCAACCTCGTCGGGCCTCTCGCGGCGGTCGAGATGCAGGCCGACGTGGCCGAGGAGGCGGCGGCGGCGGCAGCTGTCGCGGCGCAGCGCGGGGTCGCGAATGCGGCGAGCTCGGTGGCGAAGCGAGGTGCCGCCACCCATCGTGAAACTTAGGTACGGACCCATCGTGCTCGAGCCATTAGGCGCCGCTGCTCGAGGCCATGCACCCTTGCCACGATCTGCTTGATCGCCGTATATTCCGGACCTGAGGCGAGCGGCGAGGCGGCCGCCGGTCTCACACACGGTGCCGCGGTGTCGCGGTGCACATTATCTCTCCGTCCACGCAAAGTGATTTCTGGCTGTCGGGCGATGGAAGCTGTGAGAGAGGAGAGGTCCAGAGAGGGCTGAGTCCAACGTCACAGGTGCTCTGGTGTCCCCCTCGGGCGTCGGGGCCCCCAGGTGGGGGGGCTCGTGAAGAGGCGTCTCAGTCTGAATCGCATACTCTAATCATGAAAGGAACTTATCGTACAGCCAGGTATGAGGTAACCTCCCTTTTTCAGGGTAGGCTCCGCCCCACTGTGATTCGGACTGGGCGACGGCAGGACCCCCGTGGCGCCCATATTAGCGCTCCCAGCGGCGCCACCAGGGCCATGGGGGTGTAGGGGCTTCGGGTGACTACGAAACATTTAATATTTAGACACCACCCCGGTCTCGTACCCTCAGACAGAGCCCAAAATCGCTCCGCGGGACGGGCCGGCACGGAGGCGGAAGACGCCTCTCACTCGCCGACAACGCGAAGATTGAGGCATGTGCACGGCTCTTCGAGCGCCTTTTCCATCCGATCGCGTAGCTCGGTTGGGTCCCAGTCGAACTTGGGCCTCTCGCCGCTGCAGCAGTCGTGGCCGCGGTCGAAGAAGGCGAACCGCTGGTGGTCGCACACGTCCTTCTCCTCGTCCGGCTCGGTGGGCGGGCGCCACCCGGCGCCGTACGCCGTCTCGACCATCATCCACCAGCCCTGGTACAGCCGCTCCGCGCAAAGCGCGGCGAGCCTGAAGTTGCTTTCGGCGAGCGAATGAGCCGCCTCGGCCGAGCGGGTCCGATCGAACCACAGCCTGGTACCCGGGTATGCGTGAAGGCCGTTGTTTCGACGGACTCGGATCGGTTTTTCATCTCCCACATCTTGTTTTCGAGGTCCTCCACCTGCTTCTCGAGCTCGCGGACGCGGCTTATGAGGAACTCGGTCGCGAGAGGGTCGCGGGGCGGGCGGCTGCTGCTCCCGCCGCTCGCCACGACCCGATCCACGAACCCCTTCACCTCGTGATTCCCGATCACGCTAGGGGGGGAGCGGGTCGGCGCAGCGGGCAGAACTAGCGCTGGGGTGCTCGCCGCCGGGAGGAAGCCTGGGTACACGGCGCCGCGCCGCTCCACCAGGTCGATGACGCGCTCCATGACCGCCGCCACCTGGCGATCCTCGTCGGCCTTGCGAGCCGCCCGCGCCTCTGCCTGTAGGCCGGCCGCATCAGCCGCCCTCAGCGCTCGCAGCCTAGTGACGACTCGCGCGCCGGCGCTCTCCGCCTCGTCACGCAGCAGCAGCGGCGCGCCAATCATGTCGCACAGGAGCATCGCCATCGCCTTTTTTCTCGATATCTTCTGCGACTGCAGGAAGGTGATGTTCCGCTCGACGGCAAACACCGCCTCGATGGCATCCTCAGCGCACAGCATCATCTCGTAGGTGACCTCTGCGGCTATCTGCGGAAGCCCAGAGGGGCCACCCTGACCGCGATTGCCGAAGATGACGATCTCGGCCCGCATAAAGAGCTCTCGGCGGGTCAGAGCCAGAGCCGCCAGGCGAGCAGTCCCATAAGCGTCCAGGGAGAGGCCAGCAGCCTTGTCTGCAAGCTGCTCGGCGCCGGGCGGCGCTCGGCCTGAAGGTGGAGGACAGGCAGATCTTGCGATACGAATCGAGTGCGGTTGGGTACGGGTCGATACTAAGACGTACTAGAGGCGAACGGCGGGAGCGCACGCCTGACGCCCAGACGAAGCCATCGGGCTCACAGCGCAGCTCAGCCATCGCCCGTACGGGTCCGTCGCCTTGAGTATCCGGATCATCCCCATCGGAGGTCGGCTCCCTGTTGGCTGCTTGGTCTCCGGAGCTCGGGCTGTCGAGCTCCATGGCCTCGCAGTTTGCGCAAACTCGGAGCTAGCGAGCTGCCATGCTTTCGAAAATAAATTCGCCGATCTCCGTCCGAGACGCAGTGGGGCGGAGCCTACCCTGTTACCCATCTCCTAGTAGTAAGTAGAGGTGTCCGTTTTATTTATTTATTTATTTAGGTAACCTCCGGCTCCGCCAGGAGCAGGACGCAGGAGCAGGAACCCCCGTATTTTAGGGGGGTCCCACCCCCCACACGTGACTCGACTCTTTTTTTGTGGAGGATGGAGCATTTGTGCGGGAGGACTTACCCGCCCTTACGCCTTAGCCTATACACGCTAGTAACAGCCTTACGTTGTTACGAGAGAGCGTGCGCGACGGTCGGTAGTCGTGCGTAGCGTGCGTTTCAAGTCTTCGTGGGAGTTCCGCGCGCGGGGTGTGTCCGTGCCTGTGCGGTGTGGGGCGGGGCGCTCTTACTAGAGGCGCGCGGGGGCGTCGTGAACACGTGAGGGTGTGTCTCTCGACACCCGGGTATCGCCCATGACCCGGGGTCTTTTTCTGTGCTCTAAAATATAATCTAAACATCACGCTTCCATCGATGACGGCCGCCCCCGCGCCACAAGTGGCTTCCATCCGTAGTCGATGGAAGAAGACGTGGGCATGCCTCTGGCTTTGTGGGCCCTGGATTGCACATGCGTGGCAGCACGCGCCCGACCGCGCGTTGCTGTAGGAGCAAGTTGACTTCCCGCCGCGCCCTCATCGTTGCTCCCACCTCCCCTGCCGCGGAGTGAGTCATTGATGGCGACACCTATCAATCGCGATGAGAGGAGCGATGAGAGGAGCGATGAGAGGAGCGAGGAGAGGAGGTGAGGAGAGGAGGTGAGGGTGGAGAGGCGCGCCATCGTTGTAGGCGCCAAAGGCATTCGCGATGGCAGGTCCCGCGGTGTCCTCCAAAACGCCGACGACCTGGTCTGCTGCCTCGCCGTAGAGGGAGAGCACGGACATGCCGAGAATCAGCTGGAAGCCGAGGAAGGCCAACAGCACCGCGTCAAGCCAGGAGACGACGCTCGCCTCCCACGTGAGTGGAATTCGCTCGACGAAGCCGATGCCGATACTGAGCATCGTCATGTCAAAAACAGCCTGAAACCACCCCACAATGAGGAAACGATAAATCGGCCCCGTCGCAGATTCGCAGTCGAGTGGGAACGACTCGAACTAAGCGAGCGAGGGCGTTGTGGCATGATACGGGTTTATGGCCCAGCATAGCAACGTCAGGTTGGAAAACAGAAGCACCCCTTGGCACCACACGCCGATGGCCGCCCAGAGCGAGGTCGACCAGCGACCCGTGATGCACGCTACGGCGCACGTGTTGAAGAGGAGCATCGAGAGCCGCCAGACGAAAATGGCAAGCACAAAGACCGAGGCGACAGCGGCGCCTGCGATGTCGACTGGCCTGACTGCGTCCTCCACTGCGTCCGAACACGGGTCAGACCCTGAGTCGGTGGAGTTGGAGCTGCTTGTGTTCGCTTCGCTGTAGAGGACTCTCCCATCGCGCCAATAGGAGTCCGCAGCCATCCTCTGCAACCACTGCTTCCGGCTCAGCACTGCTCCGCCAAGGTCCTGGGTCCGCAGCCTCTCCTGGTAAAAGGCGGGATCGGTCACGATGCGCGGGTGGAGAAGAGCGCCGCCCGAGAAGGTCCCGATGATGCCGATGTTGATGCAGGCAACCAACAGCAGAATGATCAGCTCTACCCACGCGCAGTCGCAGCATGCAACGCAGCACCGAATCGTCCGCGAGAGCGGGAAAATGACGGGCCCAGAAAGCTGAGGCGGGGACCCGAGCAGATTTTGCGCGGCCGAGCCCACGGCAGCTGGCATTGCCCTCGCTTTCTGCGGCGACGGCAAACGAGGTTGCTTCAATGCGTTCTGCAAGTCGGCCATGTGACGGTGCAGCTCGCGCAGCTGTGCGCCTCTAGCCGCGTCACGCTCGAGCGCCTGCTCGAGCAGGTGGATTAGCTTCTCCTCACGAGCACTCGGAGGCAGGCTCGGCGGATCGCTGTGCGAGGAGCTCTTCATGAGAGACACTTGCTGCATCGTACGTCCGAACCTGAACCGTGAGGAAAAAAATTCAGGTTTGTGGCGGCGTGCCGTCCTCCCTTGCGTTATCTGTTCTTTTGTGATGATGATGTGATGGATGCCCTCTCCTGTGTGGGTGAGTGAGTATATTCTCGACTGTCTGTACTTGTGCGTCGTGGGTTCACGGGGTTGCTCTTTTTGAGAGAGAGAGAGATTTTTTCTCTCTCTTTTTGTGTGAGTGAGTAAGAAAGAAAGAAAGAAAATAGACAATCCCAAACGAGGGATGGGGGAGGAGGACAGTGAGTATATTCCTCTGCTCTCCCGGTGTTCGAGTTTCAACTGGCTCAACTCCCCTGAGCGTGCCAACTGGGTCAACGAACGACGTCAAGAACAAGCAAGCGGCAGACGTCCTCTTACCCTCGGCCCCAGTGGAGGGCGCCCGTACCGCCTAGCTCCGCGGACGGGCCCCTCCACCCTTCACGTATACGGATCATGTAGTCCCCACAATCGCTGTCGTGGGATCGCTTGTCATGTGCGCGCGCGCGGGGGTGGAGGGTGCGTATGAGGTGGAGATGATGGAGGCGCTCGCCGCGTGCGGCGATTGAGCGCCTCCCTCTCTCTCCGGCTGCGCGCCTGACCGGTGCGGCCTCCGAGTCGTCGGCGTCTAGCGCGCGCGATAAGGTTTTTGCTCGCCTTCCCTGGGATCCCGTGTTGCGTGACTCTGTGCGATTTCGGGCCCGGGGTTGTGCGTTTATGTGTAAGAGTGCGTTGTGTTCTTTGCGAGGTTATGACCGCGCAAGATAAAAGGGTGTCCTAAGGGCTCTGCCCGCAAGGCGCCCGCGTCGCAGACGCGGTACCATTGACAAATCTGCAATATACCCCCACACGAGCAAATAGCCAAAATCCGAATACCGTGCACGAACTGCGTGATCTGGGCCGTGCAAGCCTTCAGCTGGTGCCAAGACATCCGTAAAATTGAAGCCAAGATCCGCCAAATCCGTGCTTTCGCGCTACCTGAGGGGAAAGCCGCTGATCGAGCCCAGCGTGCCCGCGGCCGCCTCCCGCGCAGCACCGCCGCTGCGGAATCGGATCGATCCCATGGAGGAGGAGGGCGCAGTCGGCCAGCGCAGCAGGCGGAGTCCCTCCCCGCGCCGGAGCCCCCCTGCAGTCGAGGGAGTCCTCGTTAGCGATGAAGGTGGCGACATCGAATCGCGGCCGACACACGTCACGGGAGGAATGGGCGATGAGCGGGAACGATGCGCGCTACGACGCCGACTCCGCCGTGCTCGTGGCCGCCACGACGCCGACTCCGCCGTGCTCGTGGCCGCCAAGCAGAAAGCCGCGCTCCAGGAGCACGCCAAGATGCAATGGCTCGCTTGCTTCGTTCAGCTCTCTCGGCAGCAGAAGTGGGGCTGGAGCGGGTGGGGGTGGATGCCGATTGAGGGGGAGCGTCTCCAGCTGCGCCCTGTGGCAGCTGCGCCCTGTGGCAGCTAGTCGAGGGACTTGGTAGTTGTGACCCCCCTGAGTGAGGACAGGAGAGAGAGAGCGTTTTGTGGTGTTTGTTGGTGTACGCAATAACGGGACAGGGTGGTTGTTCTCTCTATCTCCTCTTCTAGCTCTTAGCATGAGCTGCGCCCGGTGTCCGACCCCTTTTGCGCAGCAACACCTTAAACTTTTAGGCCCTCCAAATTCGGGTCGGAGCGTAGCGGAGTGGGCCCCGAGTTTGAAAAGGGCGACGGACGCTTGCGTCCTAGCCTCCAACAACGCCTCCCCGGCGCAGAGGGGCCCCCGGAGGGATGCACAACCGCTCCACGCCACGCCGCTTGCGGCGGTCCTCTTCCCAGCTCCGCTGAGGGCGCGCCCGTTATTTTTCTTTTTGCCTGCCGCTGGGCAGCACGAACGAGCCTACCTACCGGGCCCAACCTACTCGCGAGATGTCCAACGTGCCGCTCGTGGTCAAGCTCTCGGTCTTCGCGACCGAGAGCGTGCTCATGGCCGCTGGCGTGCGCGATGTCCTCATCCCGGGCACTCCGCTTCCACTGCCGGGAGATGACAAGCTGATGCTGCTCTGGTCGTCCGCCATGAAGCGAAAGCAGCGCATTGCTGCGCCGGTGCCGCCGCCGCAGGCGTTCCTCGCGGCGATGCTGGGCGCCTTCGTCCTCCTCAGCGCGGCGGCCAAGCTTGCCGCGACCTTTTCACACTTTGAAGGGACGTTCCTCCGGTGCGGCCGCTTCAAACAAGTGGCGTCTGTGCCAGCTTGCTCTGAATCGCGCGCATTCGCTGCAGGCGCAATCTCTTCCTGGTCTTCGGCTGCGCCGACCTCGCCATCGCTGCGCTCATGCACCACCACAGTGCTGTGGTCCTCGAGTTTACTGGCGCAGGTGAGAGCGTGGGCTCGCCCGGCCTTGGCATCCCAGCGTTTCGCGGCTGACAACGAGCCATCTCTCCCTGCAGGCCTCGACAACTTTGTGCTGTTGCTGATGATCGAAGGCGCGGTGGCATCCCCTCCCCGCCAGGGTAGCTTGCCATCCACAGCTGGTAGACTGTCGTTTAGGCGTCGCCTTTCTTCTCGATGCCATCTTCCGGCCGCGCAAGGCGAAGTCGGCGTGATCCTCGTACCTCGAGGCTTGTGCGAGGGCTCCCAGTGGTGAGGCAGATGCCAGATCACGGCCACCGGTGCCACCCACACGCATCTCAAACCAGACGAAACCCCCGCGGTGCCATGTGTTCTTGTTCATAGGCGTATTCTTCTTTTACTGTTTTCGACTGTTTGCACAGC